GAGTGTTACAATGAATGGAAGAAGCATTGAATCAGATCTTATTGGAAAAGGTTAATATTTATGCTATTATTGGATTATAATGGTTAAATTACACAAATACAAAAATCATGTGATACGTCTATTTTCAATTTTTTTTTTTTGTGTTTCAGTTCTAAATATTAGAATCATATATAATTAATATCTTTGTTTTCTGCAGATACATTTGAAAGTTTTGAAACCTGGATTTTGGAAAACAAAATGATAACTTGTATGACCAGTAATTTAGCACGTAAGACTAGAATCAATTCATTTATAGTAACTGGGAATGGAAATGGATTGGCTGGATTTGCGTTAGCAAAAGCCAAAGCATCCCTACAGACGATTAAAAATAGGGCTGGTCAAAGATTAATGTATATTCCTACATATAAGGAACACACTGGTAAGAAAATATTTGTCAATACTATATAATATAAAATTTATTTCTTCTCTTTTAATATCATTTTGTATTTTTCAGTGTTACATGATTTCTTTACACAGTTTGAGAATATAAAAATATTTGTAAAGAAAATTCATGAAGGATAATGGGCTTGTTTGTCATCATGCGATAAAAGCATGTTGCGAGATAATTGGCATAAAGGATATGTATGCCAAAGTACAAGGAGGAATGTAAAAGCATTCTTTGGTTTATTGCAATAGGAATGTAAAAGCATTCTTTGGTTTATTGCAGTAGGTATGAATATAAAGTATTTAAAGGCATATTATACTTTTTATTTAATTTATATTAGAAAGAAACATTTTTTATTTATAAAAATATATATACATATATATATATATATATATATATATATATATATATATGTTAGACATAAAGCTAAAAAAAAACGTGGATTGTGTCGATTAATTAATTAATTGTTTTATTTAATTATCAATTTATATATGTATATTATTAACAATGATTTTTTGTTTACTTAAACTTTATAAGGTTGTACATAAGAAACAATCTTTTTTATTTAGTATTTCAAGCATATTTTCATAGAACTTTAATTTATTATGTTATTAAAAATATTGAACAAAATAAAAAATTAAAGCTGGCTTTCTCTGTAGTCTCATGGCAGATTATATCAGTAATCATACTTTAATTATTGCAATGTATCATGAAACAAATCAATCTCAAAATAATGGAAATATTTGCAGAAATATCAACAATTTGCAGATGAAAAATGATAGCATTTAGTCAAAGTTAAATCAGAAAATGGGAATTATCCAGTAGTACTTGTTTCACCAGCGCAAATCAGAAAACCAGAAGTACCGTCCAATAAGTCTCTCGATTTTATGCAGTATGTAATGGACAAAAGAATGGTGTTAAAAAGAAGAAATTACTACCATTCTTTACTAAACTTCCGTCTTACAAAAGAAAATTGGAATGTTGGATTTGAACGAACGAGAAAAATACAATTGTTAGCGAAATATGGAAAACTGCATTTTCTGACAGAAAAATATCCAGAGGCACAAATATTTTATAAACGAAAACCACGCGAAGATGAAACAATAGAATAAAGAAGCCGTATAATCATTGTACTTTTATGTATAAACGTTTCACAAAATAAAATCTTTATAAATGAAGTGTTACATTAGAAATATTAGTATAAAATTAAATATCCATGTGAGATTTAAAATTTTTTGTCCTTTTTTTTCTTTGGAATTTTTTGTACTTTTTTTTCTAAAGATTCTTTAAGCGAGAACTGCTTCTTTCGCACTATAAAACAATTTGATGTTGAATATTTGATGTTTTTTTAGTAGTTTAAATTTCGTGAAAAAATTCGAGAGAAAATTAGATTTTATCGTATTACTGCACATATCGATTAAATGCTATATCAAATATGTAGTGTAAATATTTTAATTTTTTCGTATACGATCTATTTTTTATAATTTTTTCGTATACGATCTATTTTTTATTCTATCGATGTTTTCATAGTGATGCACCTTGAGCATTTTACTTCATATATTTGCAATAAAAATATATTAAAGCAAATTATTTTGCAAATTTATTATTCTAATTTTTATTTAGAAAGAATAAGATTTAAAAAGACGTATGAATTTTTTCAGATTTTTTTACATATTTCCATTGAAAAAAATGCATCAGATAAAACTGACTTTTCTGTACATTTTAAATGTGCCAAAAGATTTGCTCTTTATTCCACTTACTGCAATAATGTACACTAAAAATGACAGATCTATATTAAAAATGATAAATTAGTAGTATATTTAGTAGTTGGAAAGAAAGAGAGCAGAAATGAAAAGTGCATCTAGAGAATTTAAAAGAATAAAAAACAAATCTAAAAATAATACATAAAGATTAATATTATGTATTTTTTTCATGAGGAATGTGGAGCGCACATTTATGCATTTATTTATTTAGATGAGATTTACTTTAGAGCACATTCAGTATTCAACTTTAATTTTATTTTCTCTTTCTTGTGATATATAAGTATAACATAATTACTTGCAAATGCTATCATTTTTGTGTGCTTACAGTGATATAGAAACAACATTATGAGTACTATATTTACAGATAACATCTGTATAATAAAAAAAGCACCAGTCTAATGGTGAAAAAAGGGTAAATATTGTAGACCAGCATAAGTATCAACCAATTATTTCACCGCTCTGTTTCATTAGAGTTGCAATTTTCTTTTATAATATTATAAATATTATAAATAAGATAGAGATTTCCATACGTTTCAAATAAATTTATATATTTTATGTATGTAATACTGCGCACACATATTAAAAGGTGATAATATCGCAGTTATAATAAGATACAATCCTGGCAATGTAGCGATTTTTGGATTCTGAAAATAATGTAATTTGATTTATTTTTGAGAAATGCGCACAATACTTTAGAACAAATTATTTTTGTGCCATGTATTACCTGTGTAAAATTCCACAAACAGTAACATATTGTCTGCGATATATGAAAAGCTTCATCGATGAAATAAATGGTTGAATATGATTGAGATATAAGAAAAGTACTTGTAATGTAGTAATATAGTACTTGTAATGAATAACGTTAATGTAGAATACATAAATATTTTATATTTTAATTTCATGTAATCGAGATGAGATAAGACACTCATGATTACTTTAAAAATGTGTCCACAAATATCATGTAACTTCAATAACTGCACATTCAAATTAATCCTATTACTTTAAATGAATCACAGCAGCTTGTTTTAATTTAATCTAACCTAACCAATTATATTATATGATTCTCATTAAAATGTGTAAAACTGTACGTCGCACATTTAATACGATTAATATACTACGTAATAAAATGTAATACACTAATGAAATAATTAAATATTATTTTTAAAAGCATGATACAATCCAGGCAGCATACGCTTGTGTTTATATTCGACATCCAAAGACAGTGGTTAGGTTAGGTTAGATCAAACAAATTTATCGTTTAACAGTTGGCAGCCCTACAAGATAGGCTGTGCAGCACCGCGTATATAAAATAAATTTGAAATCGCTTCTAGCATAACCATCTTCACGCGATCGACTTTATTTGAATTGCACGGCATCGCGTCGAATTATGATGCGGCGCCGATTTGTTCGAACGTAATTCGGAACATCGCGATGCTGTATAAGCGTCGAATGAGCACGAATTGTCACGCAAATATGATAAATCACATCTACTCACCGTTCACTGGCTGTTCCACAGGCCGCTCCACTCGCTCGCCTCGGGACGTCCCATTCCGATCTTGATGCACACGATGTCATCAACGCGAACGCGCGACACTTTATTCGGCACTCCCAATATTCGCTCGCATCCGATAATCATCATCAAGGGCGCAAATAACGCGACGCGACTTCGTTCCATCTTCGCGATCGCGCTATCACTGAACTGTGAAAAATAGCTGTCGCGCACTTTCACCGACATATTATGAAAGTCGCGCGATCATCCTTGGACACTTTCGACGCTCTTTCACTCGCGATATTCGTTTAAAAACGGTTAAAAGACGCGAAAAATGCGGACGTACGACGATCCGTGTAACTGCGTATGACTCCGATTCACGTATGACGCGTATGACGTAGCTATGACGTATCAGTCACGCGCCAACATGGCGGCCGAACCAGTGCGCAGAAACAAATGCGCACTGGTTCGGCCGCCATGTTAGCGCGTGACTGATACGTCATACGCGTCATACGTGAATCGGAGTCATACGCAATTACACGGATCGTCGTACGTCCGCATTTTTCGCGTCTTTTAACCGTTTTTAAAAGAATATCGCGAGTGAAAGAGCGTCGAAAGTGTGCAAGGATGATCGCGCGACTTTCATAATATGTCGGTGAAAGTGCGCGACAGCTATTTTTCACAGTTCAGTGATAGCGCGATCGCGAAGATGGAGCGAAGTCGCGTCGCGTTATTTGCGCCCTTGATGATGATTATCGGATGCGAGCGAATATCGGGAATGCCGAATAAAGTGTCGCGCGTTCGCGTTGATGACATCGTGTGCATCAAGATCGGAATGGGACGTCCCGAGGTGAGCGAGTGGAGCGGCCTGTGGAACAGCCGGTGAACGGTGAGTAGATGTGATTTATCATATTTGCGTGACAATTCGTGCTCATTCGACGCTTATACAGCATCGCGATGTCCCGAATTACGTTCGAACAAATCGACGCCGCATCATAATTCGATGCGATGCCGTGCAATTCAAATAAAGTCGATCGCGTGAAGATGGTTAGGCTAGAAGCGATTTCAAATTTATTTTATATACGCGGTGCTGCACAGCCTATCTCGTAGGGCTGCCAACTGTTAAGGTGCAATTTCATTGACGCTAAAAAATAGCGTCAATGAAAAGGCGGCTTTACACACTGAAAAAGTTGAAACTGTTTGAACTTTATTTTATTGACGCCATATCTAGAGAAAGTCTAGTGATTTTAATTTGCCGCTGGTTTCTAGCGTCAATGAAATTGCACCTTAAACGATGCAAAAAAATATAGCCTAACAAATTTCGAGGAGTCGATAAGTTTGCGGCCGTAGTTCGATATATGACATATGTATACAGGAGCCACGTAACCTCAAACTCGATCGCGATGATGGAAACACACGTTCTCGTTTGTGGACGATAATTTACGGAGGATATGGCTGATCCGTGATAAATCGTAAATACGCGTCGACGAGCACGTGTCGACCATTGTCAGGATGATGGTCGACCTGGATTACGCGCGGCGGTATCTTAGCCTGCAGATCAACGAGGCGGTCTGTTGGTGGTGGTATTACATCAGGGAGATCTCGTGGCAGCTGCTGATCGCCCTGCTAGCGTATCTCTGCGTCTGCATCTTCCTCTATGCGATCCTCAAGAGAGTGGGCCACGCTGCCTGGCAGCTACCGGGTCCACCTGGTAGACTCCTTCTGGTCACGGCTCATCCAGATGACGAAGTGATGTTCTTCGGACCGCTGATCTATTGGCTGACGCGCTCCAAGGCCAGCGAGATCTATCTGTTGTGCTTATCCATGGGTACATGTCATTGGTGGTCTATTTAAGATCGCGAACGACGATTTTGACAGGAATAATCAGTCTAAGTGTCAAGCAAATGTCTATTGATGTTTACCAGTGTGCTTACAGGTGGAGACAAAAGAAGGATAGACGAGTTGTGGGAATGTACAAAGGTGTTGGGTATCCCAGAGGCTAATGTAACAATAATTATGTGAGTGTGTTTCACAAAATCACTTGCGAACACATTTAAAAATTTATTTATATATTTCTCTCGCTAAAAGAATATCGCAAAATCTTTAATTGCATATTTAATGCTACATATACTTGTCTAGTTTTCTTAAAATTGAACAATTTTATTTAGCATTAAATGTGCGCAGTGAATAAATGAAAAATAGAAATGTCTATCTTGTGAAAATAACAGTTCAATAAATAAATGTATAGGAGTAGCGAGTTACCAGATGATCAAAGTGTACAATGGCCAGTAGATACAGTTGCCGAGAGTATCTTACAATATATAGAAATATACAAAATCAATGCTGTTGTGACATTTGATAAATATGGAGTCAGCCGACATAAGAATCATATCTCATTATATTTTGCAATCGCCACATTATGCATACAGAAAAAAGTACCTCCATGTCAGTATCAATTTGCTCAGTTTGCTCAATTAATATACAAATATCAACTAATAAATTTAATCTTGTATTTCAGATTGTAAACTGTATGTGTTAGAATCTGTTAATATAATCAGGAAGTATGTTCAACTCTTAGATTTACCTATTAGTCTACTCTCAGCCTCATATTGGTATCTAGTGACATATGAACAAAAACAATTAATCAAAGTAAGTTTGAACATTCTAATTTGTTGGAGAAAAATTATTAATTTTTTTATATCTTTATATAATTTTTTTGCAATATTTTTTTCTCATAGAGTGCTATGGCTGCACACAAGTCCCAATATGTCTGGTTTCGAAAGTTATACATGATTTTTTCACGATATACGTTCATCAATACTCTCCAAGAAATCAGTGCTCTCGATCTGGAGCTGGATCTCCAATTTGATGAGGATTAAACATTAAGCAAAGAAGGAAGAATGTACAAAATATGTAATTATCATTGTACATACTTTGTCTACCAATGAATTACATTATTGTAAATTATATAAAATGAAAGTTATATACCAAAGCTACAATTTTAAAATTCATGCAACATTTTATAAGCATGAAATATATTTTTAATCATTAATAATAATAATAACATGCATAGCAGTTAATTCTGAATGAGGAAACGGCATCTAGCTTTTTTGGCATAATAATAAATCTGCTTTTCTCGTAAAAAAGAAAAAAATACGTTCTATATGCCGTGTGTTTTATCTTTATCTTTAATCTAATTTTTTTTTGTATATAATCCTTCACAGTTCCAAATGCAAAATTGTCATTTGATATGTACAATTTTATTTATTAATTGTATATAATAAAGTAATCTCTTATCATAGATAAAAAAATCATTTAATTCAGTTTGTAGAACACAAGGTTTCTTATCAAGTAATTGCATACATTTTTACGAAAATTAACGTTATTTTAAAAAACGTTATTTAAAAAATTTGAGCAAGTTAATATATAACGAGTTAAACTCGCGGTTGTACATATTTTTAATTGTTTCAACAATAGTTATATAAGTTATAGATTTTTTAGCCAAAATTCTTTTTCTTTTTGGCACAAATAATGTACATAGGAGAGAAAATTCAACTTTCTTTTCTTGTTCTAATGTTTGATAATGGACATTTTTCAAAATTTGGGAAAAATATATTGCTCTTTTCACAACAATTCAATATCATAGATGTATACAAGAAATAGAGATATTCTCTATGAATATAGATATTCTTTCATACATATGCAATATTACTTACATTTCTTTAACATTTAACTTCTATGAAAAGCTACTTAATATGAAAAACAAAAATTCTCTTTTTCCACAATGTAAATTCCACAAAGTAAATATACTTCAACAAGCATGTTGGAAAAATATTCACTGAAAGTTTAATCAGTAATCATTTAGAGTAATATTGCAATATATGCAGTCATTATTTTATAATTTTCGACTGAAAAAGATTTTTTCAACAACTCTTGGTATATTTCTAATATAAAGATAAGAAAGTTATCTTTTTTATCATTATTCTGTTAGTTAGAATTTTTCTAACATGCTTTAAATCTGGAATGTAACGAAAATACATGTTTAGTTACTTACTATATAAATGTATATATGTATATAAAAAAGAAATCTCCTTTCGTAAAAAAATCTCAGTAAAAGAATGCGCGACAGTCCGAGAATGACTAATTCTAATGCCGAAAATAGACCGACAATTATTTCAAATCGTAAATACTTTTCCAAGGATGATATTATATTTATCATATAACGAGTTTGTCGGCGTAGCAACTATCGAATAAAGAAAGTTTCCATCAAGAATTTCATTTCACAATTTTCTTCATCAAGAAAATTTCTATCTAATAATTCTCTATCTAATACTCAATCAATATGTTCGACAAACATTTTATCATATGAATTTAATATCAACCTAATATGATACTATTAGAAAAATTATACGCAACGTACGCGTGCATATATCGAAACACAATATAATAATATAATCGAAGAAAAAAACAATCTCTATGTGTTGTAATCATGTGCGTTTCACGCACAGGCCATATTTCAAATACTTTTTCCTATGAGTTTACGAATTGTCGTAAACATATAATTTACATTCTAGATCGAAACTCTGCGAATAAGCCTGATTTGAATCGGGCTAAAGATGAAAATATTACGTACTATTAGTACGTATTCTAATAAACATCTTTTTATAAAACGAAGTAAATGTTTATATACGACAGATAAAATGGACGGCATAGAATTGGTTCCCGCAAGATCTTCAGATCAGTAAACTACCGTAACGGCGATAGATGCACCGCAATGAGCAGAATACCGAATTTAGGTACATAGAGAAGAGGAAGTGATACCTGGAAGAGATTTCCAATCGGGCGTAAGGATTTCCTACATGTCCCAGTGAACAATAATCCTTTAGGAATCCTTACAAAGGATTCATGACGAAGATCTCGCGGGCCGTGTCCTAGAACCTGTCTTTGCCACGATGAGAACCCAGAGTACCCATTCCTGGTTGAGGAGAATCCGTATCGATTGCATCTTGCAGATATTGTATTTCCTGCAACTCTTGGAACTTCTCGTGATCCCGAATGTGCGCATAATTAGCGGATAAGCACATCAGGTAGTGTATTAGGCTTAGGATAACCAGCATGGACGCTGCAGTCGCCAGGATGAACATCACTTCAGCCTTTTCCACAAAGTCCTTGCAGAATAGTTTGACTTCCTGAGATCCACACACTTGCATATCCTGCACCCGTGTATTGTTTGGAAAAAGGAAATCTAAAATCGTATAAAATTGCTTGGTATTTATCTATTCTGTCATAAATAATAAGTATCTATAGATAAGCATCTATAGATAAATTTGAATTAGAACAATCCAATTTAATTTTACAGTTTTTAAATAAGAAAAAGGAAATATTTTCTAGTTTTAATTTATCTATATATTGATTAATTAATATATGTATCGTCTATATATGATTTAAAAAACTTACTGAATTGAGTGAAATTAATACAGTCATCAAGAGATTGAACACGTGGATTGCTGCACAGGCCCCAGAATATAGTGAATATCAGCGTAATGATAGTAAGAAATGCAAATATCAGAAGCCAAGCTATTTGCAAGATATAAATGATAGTCATAAACTGAAAAAATAAAAATTTTTATATTAAGATAACATGAAATAACTTCTAGTTGTGAAAGATTTTTATATTTTAGATACATACAACAGCACAGGAGATACGTCCACCCACTCTAGATCTCCATGCTCGATAGACTTTGTGCCTTGTAGCACCAGTTGCAAGACAACCGACGCACAAAATCATAAATCCTAGAGCTGCCATGCAAGCTCCAATCGATGCAAATACCAACTGCACCGCTTCCAGCCATCCAAGATGAAGATGAAACACCTTAATCAATTTCATAATTCTTGATATATAGAATCTTTAAAACATATCTAAGAATACTATAATAAGTCAAGTGATTTACCTGATCCATCATAAGAGCGCACAATGTTGCACCTCTGTACATGGTACCACAGAAGATTCCAACTCCTAAGCAACACATTATAGTTGCTATGAGAGTTGCGTATGGCACTCTAGCCATACAATCGTTGCACATGTTCCCTAAACAAGGAAATTTGATTTCCTATATTTATTTTGTTACAAGAAATTATCTATATGTGTGTAATTGAAGTAAATTATAACCAAACTTTATAACTACATAAAAGTACATCATTTTAATATCACAACTTTTTTATAAGTAAATATAAATTATACACATATAGATATATAAATTACATATTGAAATAACATCGTATAAAAATGCATATAATGAAAAATAGTGTAATTTTTCTTGGGTTAATATTTCCTACAGTAAAATATGATGATTATCTATGATATTTGTATTATCTAGCTTCACATTTGAGTGGTATTTTCAGATACTTACTACATGTTCGCTCGTTTGAGTCAATATCATGGAGACTACGCTCAGAAAATCTATCTACGCTTATATTACTCGCAAACCGACTACGCAATGGTAAACTCTCTCTGACCTCATGTAATTCATGCAATCTCACCATTTTAATATTATTATACGAATCACAATAAACGACTGAATAAATAAAGAATACGCAGCGAAACACGAACGTTCGACCAATGACTAAGCCGACTATAATGATGAGATGATGACTAATCATCACTTATCTACAAGCTCGTCAGATAACACGCGAGATGTACATATGTACATACGTATGAGCTTACTTCATTCATAAACTCGAACGTAAACGCTTCATTAACGTATTAATATCTTGAACGGAAATAACTGGCGCGTGACGTCTTTATTATTGTTGACGTCTATAATTACTTCATCATTGATGGCCACTCTCTTTATTTTTAATATAGGGTCTAATAAACTCTCCTTGAATTTTTGTCAAGTCAATTATAATTTATACCAAATCAAATTAGCAGTTTTAGCAGTTGTTTAACGAGATTATCTAAGCTTAATCTTAGTAATGTTTACAACCGTATGGAACTGTTATCAGTATGATAATCAGTATTATACCCATATATATTCGCTATTCAAATTTCACAATCGGTTTATGGCGGACGATTACATTAATTTATAACGAGAAAACGAGGACAAAAATTTTTCGTCGAATTATCGCGACCCAAAAAAATTAAACTTACCCATATTCGCAGTTCACGTCTAGTTCACTCTGTTTAAGGTTAGGAACGCTTGAACGAAGAATGGGCAGCGCCCGTTCGTGGAATCTACGAGATTACAGTTTCTCGTTAATTATCTCGGCAATTACGCGTCCCTCAGCCGTGATAGCGAAGGACATCGCGATCTCAATCGCTAATTGTAAAAACAGAAAAAAAACATGACACGGAAAGATCGATAAATTAAATTAAGAGGATTCGATAAATATGTCGAAATTTTAATTTCTCTCTAGGAAAATTATCATATGCGATGTCACATTCGTTTGTTTACTATCTGTCAGAAACACTCCGAAATAGCACCCTGACGTAATCAACCACCTGTGAGCAGCTTCCGACTCCACGGATAATTTCTCACGCACGATGATCCTATCGATCTTATCGCGCGCGCGCGCGTACGATAATGTTGAATTTCGGGAATATTACGGGGAACAATGAACAACTTTCATGGGATATCGATCAGAAACGGCGTTCAATATGGCGTCAGAAACGCGCTTGTAATGGTGGTCCACCCGAGAAGCAAATGATGAATGGGATCGTTGGCCTCGCAAGGGATTGTAGGGCGCGCCGTAGTAGTAAACGTTCATAAAAGCCATTCCCTTCAATGGAGTGGGGTTGTCGGGAATGATAATGACCAACTGTAACCCCGATTTGATTGAGATGTTACGGTGAACGGAGCCGTAGAGCCCCTCAATCGATCCGGGAAAGTGAATGATTTGTTTTTCGTACAATTCTAAAATTCGATTTTCACGAGATAAGAATATTTAAATTTTAAATATGTGCGGAAAAATGAGAAGAAAATTATTAGCAAATATATATGGAAAACACAGCTGATGAAAAATCTACAATAAGTGTTAATTGGTGAAAATTGATACTTATCTTTCTTTTTTGTATATTTGTTTATTACTTTATGATTTATTGCGAATTTATTTCTCATTGTCATTTGATGATATATTAAGCAAAGAAAATAATTTTAAAATAATTTTAAAATATATATAGAAACAATAGTAAATATACCTGTATAGTTTGTTACTTTGAGTGGCAGATATCAAATGTTATTCTGTAGAATTTTCCTTTGTATATTAAAAAAATTTTCATTTAAGTCCCACATTTGTAATAATTACTTTTAAATTAATAGTACTATTTACATTTCTCTTCTCCGTTATCTACAAAAAATAAACATTAATCTTTTAAAAAATATATTTCGTTAACTTAGTTTTCTCTTTTTTTTATCTGTCTCATTGATTTTTTAAATAGAAAAATGAATATTAAAATAGTTTAAAATATTTTTGTATGCACAATGCTCGAATGAAGCTCAAAGTAATTATAAAGCCATTATAGATAAATGATTCTTTATTATTGTATACTTAAAAATATTCATTAATCTATGTTTAGATTTGTATAAATTATTTATATAAATCTATATTGTATAACCTGTGAATCTATAATAAGCTTACAGTCATTCGAGAGTGATTTTTCAGTCATATTGTACAAAAATATTCAATATTTTCAATTGAAGCTACCGGATACATATGTGCCTTGGTTCCATGAGATATTGGATAACCATTGGCAATTGACGAAGTTTCTCTTGAACTGGCACTTCCAAATTTTGCTGGTGATGCTTATTATATCGTACAATAACACCATCATTACTTTCGTATGTGATGCTATCTTGATTTTGCGGACTTACCTAATAAATAAGATAATTATTGAAATGACAATATATAATAATCTTACTCTCTAATTTTATAATTATATCCAATTCATTTTAGTGACATTATTATTTTGTAATGGTTTATTATTAATTATTTGATATATATATATATATATATATATATATATATATATATACATACACAAAATATATAATAAACTATCACAAAATAATAATTTCGCTAAAATGAATTGGATATAATTATAAAATTAGAGTAGTATAAGATTATTTAGTAAATCAGTAAGACAACTTACAGTTAAAGCGGACCCGTCTTTGTAGTCAACTCGGATATCACCGGACGATAATCTTGTAGCGAATCCAACTCCTGGTACCGCTACTTTATTTGCATTATTCAAACTATGCATAGAATTCATCTTGCGCGATCTAGAAGTCATCGTCGAAACGACGGAACAGCTACCATTGAATGACGGCAACTAAATGAGAGACATTACTTCAACATTACTTCAATAGAACAAAGAAATCAATTATTGAGATATTGAAAAAAGTTAGAAATTCCTACTTACGACGGGAGAAACATTTCTAATATGCGATATATTTTCTTTTCCCTGTAAATAGGGAACATCATTCAAAGCCGTGCTAGGCCTTCGTCCAATTATCACAGGAAAACAAGGATGCCCAGTGGCCGCCTCCAAAGACGTCAAAGTGGATTCCAGTAGTAAACATCGTTTATAGCACTCCGAGTAATGTTCGCAATAGCTTTCGAGATGCGATGGAAATTCACCCTCAACAAATGTATCACCATTGTGATCGGTGATTTTTATGACACCATTTACTCGAATGATCTGGATTATATAGAGAAATAAAAGTGAGAGAAAATAAAAAAAATTAAATTATTGAATTTCATAATATTAAAATTATAATATTAATCATCGTCTTTTTTATATTCTTTTTTTATATTCTTATTTTTTATTCTTTTATGATAATATACATATATTATGATAAAAGATATATATATAGTACATAAAAATCAATGAATGAATATACATAATACATAAAAATGAATGAAGATACATATATGATAAATAAAAATTAATGAATTGATAGCTATGCATACCTGCACTCCATTGTAAAAATGCACTTCACAGTCAGGCTGTGGACCATTCTCCATGAAGACACATTTTGAACGCTGGGTATACAGCGTTAATTTTGGAGTTTTCGCCTGAACTAATTGCACGAAACGATACGCGTACATGTATTTTCGATGATGACATGCTGGTAAATTCTCATAGGAATAAATACTATCAGCACCTCGACTGGGCAATGGTGGTGGTTGCGAGCCAACTTCTGTAGTTACTGGTTTGTAAAGAACGACACGTAGACCATCGCCTGATATTCTGCACACATCGCTGATTTTTTCCTAAAATATCAATATTAATAATTACATATAAATATACAAATTTGTTATAGGAGTCAAAATTCCATCTACATAACAATTTTTATATTACTCTTTTATACATACCCTGCCATTTTTACGTTTAACAAACTCAGTGCACACTTCTCCATTGTCTAGAAGCGTAAGAATCGCGGTGTTCGTTCTGTGTCTAGTGGGTTGTAATCTATTGGTATTCAAAGGAGGTACTTGTAACTTTACGCTTTCCTCAGTTCCTTCCACATTATGATTTTCCGCGCTCTTTTCCTTTTTTGGTTTATTGTTCCTTACTATCATTTTCTGCTTCTCTAAATGATCATATTCATTGTAATTGTTGTACTGCTCGTTTTGCGAGAACACCCTGCGAAATGATGGAATACCTAGCAGCACAGAGTCTTCTTTCGCGTAATTCCCGTATCTCACTCTGTAATTTGATTGTATTTTTGCAACAGGTTCAGATAATGCCTCGCTTCTCATACTAATCATAGGCATTATCGGCGTTGTCGACGTTCTTTCCTCCGACCGAGATCGCACTTTCGACCGACCGTATGAGGATAGTGTCCTACCTAGCCCAGAATCTATCATACCATTAGTTAATAAATCTTTACCTCCTATGTCATTTTTTTCCTAAAAATAAAAACAGTTGTTATTAATATATTTAAATTTTATATTAATATATTACATGTTTGATATGTTAACTATTTTATTAATGCATTATTACTTACATTATATAGCCTATTTCTTTCTATATTTGTTATAAATGGATGTTTGTGAATATCCCGTAGACGTATCCTCTCTTTCGGATTTTTTCTCAGTAATTTTTCTATTAAATCTTTTGCATTATCCGACAAATAAGATGGCATTATGTAATCAGCCATTACTACTCGCGTTAAAGTACTCTTAACTGCATCAGTGTCGAATGGTGGTTTACCCACCAATAAAGTATACAACATACATCCCAAACTCCATACATCCGCCTCTGGTCCATGTGAGGATCTTGTAGCAACCTAGACATTTTTATAACATTATAATCTAGCATGATCTTGCAATCTAGCAATCTAGCAATGCTAAAATACACTAGTACATACTTCAGGAGAAATGTAGTTTGGTGTGCCGCACATGGTCACATGTTTTTCATCTGGTTTAGTTAATTGTGTAGCTAATCCAAAATCTGCTATTTTCTGTGAGCACACAAGACCAAATAAAAAAAAATCTTTTTACTCCAAGAAATTAAAAATATATTTAAATATATATTTATATACCACTTGCATATCTCTGGTCAAAAGTAGATTAGACAATGACATATCTCTGTGAAGTATTTGATGGGAATGGAGGTAAAGTAAACCTTGTACAACTTGTCTAATTATGCGGGCAGCTAAAATAGTAGAGATTTTGTAATTGTAATTGAGGATTTATACAACATATCGTCTCATACATATAAATATATATTTGTACCATTTTCTTCAGGTAAAGCTTTGGTGCCCTGCGCTTTGAGAAAGCGTTGAAGTTCCCCATTATGACATAATTCTAAAATTAAATACACATAGTTTGCATCTTCAAAACATGTGTACAACTCCAAGATAGCCGGATGTTTTAATCGCGAATGTATCTCCACTTCTTGCCTTACTCTACCCACCATCCCAGCAGCCTGCATCATTTTCTTGTCGATCTATAGAGATAGGTAAGTAAAAAAAAGCAACATAGATATATAATTGTTTATATTGAAACAATAATATATAAAAATTTCATGATAAATCTTCTTTCTGTACAATTGCTTTTGATCTGTATAATTTGCTGATTCAGTTAAATCATGTCTCAGTTAAATATCATGATTTAAACAAAAATATTGGTCCAAGTTAAAATTTATCCAATATTTATAATATATGTTTCAAAAGTTTTGCCAAGACTGATAAATGATCCATGCATTGCAAAATTGTTGCATCAGTCGCATAAATTCGAAACCGCGTGCTCGATACGCAGGCTCATAGGCCCGCCGACGAAATTGGAGCAACACGTGTTTTTGAATGATATAAGAGGAGGAATCTTATTCTCGATTTGAAGGAGGATCGAAAGAGAGGAATAAATCACCATTTTGATCGCGACTTCCATGCCGCTGCGGAGGCATTTCGCTCGATAAACGCTCCCGTAGCCGCCCTTGCCCAGCAGATTCAGCACCTCGTACTCCTGGAACAAGAAAGACGGGAAGAGCGTTGCCACGACGAAGACGGCGACGGCGCAAACAGTGCAAATTCAAAAAACCAACCTCAATGTGTTCGCCAAAGCCGGCCGAGAGCGCTGGCATGACATGATGCCGCATATCGCGCTCGACCGGACGTCGTCGATCATCGATAACCATTGGTCCCGCGCGACGAGAACCCTTTCCTTACGCGAGATTACCCGGCGATAACATGTAAGGACGAGATTTTTCTCGGAAAACCGTAAATACAAACGGCATGGCGCCGCTCGCCATACAAACTTGACGCGTCTCACTCTCACGCATGCGTAATGAGGATTGGTGTCGGTCTGTCGGTCTCGGGAACGCTTTCCCTCGCGCATGCGCATTGAACATGATCTCATTCGAATACTAAATTCGTAAGAAAAAGAACGCTCTTAGAAACAATTTGGAAATCTTGTCGAAATAAATATAGATTTTAAATCGTATAATTAGATACTTGCAAATATTTCCTCAGATTTGCGATATGTGTCGCTTTTCATATTACATATATCAATGAAATTAAACTCATTAAAATTTTCGCGCTTATTCTCTGCTAAACATTCCTGAATTTAACTGCCATTATGCTGCGCATGCGCGAGAAAAAGCGTCTCTGAAAACATCGGGGATAAGTAGGAGAGCGGAGGGAGAGGGTACGTTCGGAAATCCTATCCGTGGAGTAAAGTAGCTTTACTTGATCAGAATAAAGAAATCTTTCCCTCTGAAATTAGGTTGGCAATATACATATTCATAACTAATCATTCTCGTCGAACAATCGGTTTCCGGCCGTATACCGGATACGGGAGCGATTTGAGGTGGTGTGTTTGTGTTTGTCCTTATTTAAATTTATTTTTTATCATTTGCCCCTCCTTCCCTGTTAAAAGGTAAGATTGTATAGTTCGCTAAGAATTTTATATTTAATTGTCACTTGTTTATATTTGTTATAATCGTGATAGACCGTTTCATCAAGTGCCAATATCCGACAAGAATTTTTCCAATCTTTTAATATTTAACTGTCTTTTCTCTCATTTATTTATACCCACAATCGAGTATAGAAAACCGCGTTATTATATGCAATAAATATTAATTATAATAAACATGAATTATATATGAATTTCATATGATATAAAATTATAAATTTAGGCTATTCCGAGAAAGAATATCGAGATAATAAGAGAGAGAGAGAGAGAGAGAGAGAGAGAGAGAGAGAGAGAGAGAGAGAGAACAAAATATATTTGTATATCGAATTAAATTTTTGAATATATTTTTATTTTATATTCCTTTCTCTCTGTTTTTTTCTCGTATATTTTTATAATTTTATATTTATTTCGATTATATGAGTTTGCGATATTATTAATAAATCCATCTTATTTAGCTGCGTTTATTATAATTTCTCGCAATTTTCTTCTCTTGTCTTTAGAAAATAATTTTTCTTTCGTTCTGTCCAAATTCTACAAATAACGAAAACGGACGATTATATAGTAATTTAAACTGTCTCAAATATCTCTTCGTTTCCTTCTAAATAGACAAATATTTCTTCTTTTAGCTTAGCCAGCGAAATAATTTGAAACCGATTCCATGTGGACACCATATGGAGTCCATGTGTTATGCTGCGTTCTTATCTTATTCATACAAAGACGAGTCTCTCCTGGATCTCGTTGTGGACCGCTATCTTATCAAAGCCGAAAAAGACCTCTGACCTCTGTAAACACAAAAAGCATTGGGAGACCTTTAACATCTGATCCTCTCCCTCGTCATTCGGCCATTCGCCGACTAGCCAGCAACGGAAACACTTATTTAGCTGCACGTGGTGTGGATGCCACATACATTCTCTCTACCTCCGTTTTCATCTTCAATCAAGTCGCCAATCCGCACCCTGGTTTATCTCTCGGGTGGTTATCGTGGATATTTTTGTTGCATGGGAGAAAGAGCTCAGCTGCCGTGAATAACGACAGACTTTTGTCGATATCTTCGTAAAATTTCAAATTCCCATAGATCCAAGTGAAAACCTGAAATGTAATGTGAAAGTGGCAAAGAAAAACTGAAAAGAGACAGAAAGAGAAAAGGAGAATAAAAGTATAGTAACCAGTGTGCAAAAATCATTTATCGCAAAATTTCTCTTTCTGGCAGTGTTCATCGATTAATATTAATCGATCAGTTAGATAGCAACGCATCTTCCGAAAGACTGATATCCAACATCGAGGAATGAGGACTTGGGTAAGAAGGTGCCGATCTTGAAGAACCTCTCGAAGAGTCCGGAAACGATATAAGATTTGAGAATTGGCACCGGAAATCATGAGGGCAATACTGCTTTTTGCGTTCACATGTGCGGTATTAACTGCCGTGCGAGGAGGTAATTATCGGCAATTTCCGGTGTATTTATTACAACGTCCGGTATCTCATTAATTTGTTTGTTAGTCGTTATCAAGTGACACGGATGTCTTAAAATATAACAAGATAACACAAAAATTTCTATATTATATATTTTTTGTATTATATATTCTTAATTCTATTAACTGCATTATATAAAACCTCATGTAGAATGTTTGTTTAAATGTCTATTAAACTAATACTTGTGAAAGCAATTTAAATGTGAAATTATATTGTAATTTAAAAATTGATATAGTAAATATGTAACAGAGTTAATAATATATTTATAATAATATAACAATATGTTCATTTAAATATATAATTCAATCCTTATAAAAAAATTTAATTATATATACAAATTTATTTATTAAAATTTTTTTTTGCACAACTCTACAAAAAGTTTTTTAAATTATTTATTTAAATTGTTTATTTTTGTAATTTAAATTGTTATTTTTGTAATTTAAATTGTTTATTTTTAATACAATTAGCAATATTATTTTTCAAATAAAATCAAAATAATTAATATATAACAATATAAAACATTATAAATTATTAATATAGTGAATATGCTAATATTACATGTTACATAATATTTTTTAAATTTTTGTTTCCAGAGATTAGTACGGATTCTGTGCCGTGTGGTCGAATTAAATGCAAGGGTAATATTTTTATATATTCTATATATATGTGTATACACACACACGCACATGCACGCACGCACACGCACACGCATGCACACATTATACTAGCACATAATACAGTTTCTATTTTCATATTTCCGACTTTGATTTTATAATTTTCAGAAATTTATCGCTTATTCTATACCACGTTAGCATATTATTGAAAGAAGAAACGAAGATTCTCTTCTTTCTGCTGTTATAATTTCGTCTCATATTTTTCTTGCAAGAATTTCTAGCATTGCATCTTTTTAACATTGAAATCTTTTTTATTTTCTTTTCTTAAATGTGATTAATTTTAAAGAAAAATTATTTTGCAATCCGAAAGATAATCAATTTATATACATAAATAATTTTTATATACATAAATAAATTTGTAGAATGTTTCCTTATATTGTTTGTTGCATACATATAAGCAAATTCTAATTAAGTAGTAACTTAATAATTTCAATATATTAAATTAATCAATTTATAATACTTTTACTTTCTTTCTTATATTTTTATTTCTGTTTTTTTTTACATTGCTTAAATGTGAAATAATTGTGGCGTCACAGTTATGTATGTGCGTCTATCGAGGAAGAACTCTGATCTTTATTTTTTCTAAACAAATGCGTATTTGTATAGATAACAGATTACGAGGAAATGAAAATTATCTCAAGAAACAAATTATACTAGATATAGACGATCATAAAAAATATCTTTAAATGATAAATTTACTGACTGAATGTTATAAAAAATATTAACTAAACTAGTTAAAAAAAAATAAAATTTCTTTTTCTTTGTCTCATGTATTCTATTTTATATCTTAAATATTAAAAAATCTAATAAATAGAGAGAAAGTTGTTTAAATATGTATTCTAAAGTAAAATATTATGTAGGTTTTCTTAGATGATAAAGATTTTTTATACATTAAAACATAGAAAAAAAATATATAATTATGTAAATTATATAATATTAACATTGCATGTATGATAATATATCATGTATCTATTTCTTTTCAGTTCCATTGGAAAGAAAATTCAAATATCAAGAGGAAATTCATTATGTGTACACATACTCTGTGGACGTAAGCACAAATCTGGGTTATCGCCATACAGTACCTCATTATCTCGGAAATGATTCAGCCTTGCATATCGATGCTACTTTATCCGTGCATTTTAGCAGCCCCTGTGAGGGCACCCTTAAAATCCTAAACGCCAGCATTAGTCACGATCGTAGCACGTATAACGCCGAGTTCCCTGATCATGCCGGCTATGAATTTAAGACCAGTCTTGAGCGTTTTACATTGAAATTTACATTCGACGATGGGATAATCCACGAGTTGTGTCCGGATCGACGAGAGCCAGTATGGACGTTGAATTTAAAAAGGGGCATACTATCGATGCTGCAAAACAGCATGCGACGCTTTGACATAGACCACAATGTTAACGAAGTGGATGTTCACGGTGCCTGCGATACTGAGTATCATCTGTACGAGGCAAAGCGAACCAGTTTGATTGTAAAGAAAAGCAAAAATCTTGCCGATTGTGAAAACGGTCCCAAGTACTTTTCCGTAGTGCAGTCAAATCCTTACAGAAGTCCGCGAAAACTACATGGCCAATATGGATTATTCAAATCACGGAGCGATTGCGAGATTACGATTGACCATAACGTCTACGAAAGAGTAGTCTGTGACGAGATGCGATTGTTACAACCACTCTCTAATGGCGATAAAGCTGGTGCCAGAACCGATTCCCGGATGGTTCTTCAACTGATTCAGGAAACAAAGGAGACGAATTTCTTCGAGGAATTCGAAGAGAACGAAGAGAATGATGAAGAAAAAGATGAAGATAATTTTATTCAAGGTGTATCTCTCACGAAGAGAACCACGTTACTATATGACCATGCGAAGACGTTGAAGACCATGCACGGCGAGTTGAGAACCTCCAGAGACTTACTGAAAAGCATGTGTAGACTTACAGCGAATACCGATGAGTTGCAGCAGAGATTCTCTGAAATGTTTACCAAGTTCATTCATTCGGCTCGTTTTCTAGATTATCCTTTGTTGTCACAATTGTTCTCGAGAGCTAATAACATTTGCAAAACTGGAAAGTACGTAATTACTAAAAATATAATGTTTTTCAACTTTTCAAAAAGCATTTAAGTTTACAAATAATTAAAGAAGCTACAATAAAAATTATGATAAATTTATTTTGCTTCTTGATTATACTTGATATTTTCTGTTATTTAACAGGAAGCACGTCGTTGCTGCACTGCCATATCTAAACAGCAATGCCGCGGTGAATATGATGAAGGATTTAATAATGAAGAGATATGTTAATCAAGCAACTGTTAATGATTGGATCATTACTTTTGCTTTGTTTCCACGACCGGATCACGAGACCATCAAAGCTCTTTCGCAGCTATTGGATTTTCAGCATCAAATTCCCGATGCCCAATTTATTCTTAGCTACTCTACTATTATTCACACATATTGCAGAAACAATGATAACTGTATCGATTTGGAAGAAGTGGATACATTCTTATCGCATCTTCAACAGAAAATCTCACGAGGTTGCGAGCCTCGTCTTCACTCTCCTCCCGTGACGAAAGAGGTAAAATATTTATTTCTTGTTATTTATAGCAAATTCTAGTCATGAAATGCAAATAAAGCACGTTTTATATTTTCAACAAGAATAAAGCATGCACGGTCACACATACACACATAGTAAAAGAAATTTTTATAAAAATAATTTTCGTTTTATTCAAATCATAATAAGAATAATTATGTTAGAGGACGATAATAGATTTTTAAATATAAATATAATACAATTTTTAATAAATAATTAATTATTAAATATAGATTTAATATAATAATTAATAATTTAATATGATTGCAGACATTGGAAGCTTTGAAGGCAATCGGTAATATGGGACTTGAAACAAAGAGTTTGCGAAGAAACCTGAAGAAATGTATTGATGATACTGGCGGATTCTTACCTATGGAAATTCGCATTGCCGCCATTGATGCTCATCGTAGGTTGCCGTCCTGCGAAGAGACAAGAGACCAATTTTTCCTTGATTATTATCGTAATACAACATTAGATACAGAAATTCGTATCGCTTCTTACTTACAAGTAATGCATTGTCCTGATTACAATGTTATTAAAACCATCAAGCATACTCTTAAAATGGAAGAAGTCAATCAAGGTTTGTATATCAAAATATTAAAAAATTTATAAGCACTCGTAAATCTCTATTATAATATAACAAGAAAATATTAATACGATTTTGAATTTTTATTTTTGATTTGTTTTTGAATAATTTTAATTGGTTTAGATTAAATAAAGATAATTTAAATAAAGATATTAATTTATGCCATTTTTGTTTCTAATTTTTAGAAAAAATGTTTTTTATAATTTGTTTAAAATTATTTTCAGTCGGTTCTTTTGTATGGAGTCATTTAATGAATCTCTACAATTCTGCCTCACCTACCAGAATCGAAATTCAAAGTTTGTTAACAGATCGAGACCTTGATAATAAATTCAACAATGATATTAGAAAGTTTTCGCGTAACTATGAAAACTCTTTCTTTTCCGAGGAGTTTAATATCGGCGCAAATTATCAAACAAATTTAATTTTCTCGCCAAAATCATATCTACCACGATCGTTTAATTTCAACGTTAGTACTGACCTCCTCGGCCAATCCGTAAATTTATTTGAAATTACTGCACGAATGGAGGGCCTGGAATATTATGCAGAAAATCTCTTCGGTCCAAATGGTATCTATAGCAACGAAAAAGTTTCGAATCATCTTCGGAATTTTCTCAGATATTTTAGATCGGCACCGGAAAAAGAAAATTATTGGAATGATGTGAAACGACTACCTAATGTTATTGATAATAATTTCGATCATCCGAAAATTACTCTTGCTTATAAGGTATATGTATACATATGAAAGTAAATAATATAAAAATATGTATTTAGCTCGATATATTTTAAGATTAAATTAAATTTGCTAAAATATATATTATACATAACAATAATAAATTAATAGATATGTTATATATATATATATATATATATATATATATATATATATATAACAATAATAAAATAAATTCATCAATAAGATAATATATCGTGTATTTTTATGAACTGTACAAATTGTATAAGATATAATTTTTATACATGTTTTTATATACATACATACTCATTATAATAATATTATTTGTTTGTTACAAAAGATATTCGGAAATGAGTTGAAGTTTACGATATTGGATGGCGACAAGCAAGTGATGTCCGCACTAGCGAATTTCAATCCTTGGCAAAAAATGAAAGAATTTTTAGCCATGCAAGAAATTCTTTATGAAAAGACCGGAATGTTCTTAGATTCTTCTTACGTCGTACCAACAGGATCCGGTCTGCCGATTCGTTTGGATGTTGCTGGTTCCGCGGCTTGCAATTTCAAAATCTCAAAGATACTCAATAATGCTCGATTATCTGATAGAGAGTTCCAACTCACAGCCAATATCACTTCCAGGTTTGTTTATTCTTTATATATGTGGAGGAGTAGGATGTATACATGTCTTTGTATATGTGTGTATAGTACATCTTTGATATACTATAAATCTCAAAAATTATTTTATAATAAATAATAATTATAAATGCAATTATGAAAAAAATATGAATAACAATTTCTGAATATATTATATTTATTATGCGAGAAAAAAATCACATTTTACATTAATATATTTTCTATTTTTCTTTTAGTCAGTCATTTTTAATCAGTAATATTTATAATATTCTTTAATAATTAAAATTCTCTCTGTATAACTTCTATATTTGATTGGATTTTATTTAATAAACAATATCTCTGTGCATATCTCTTTCAAGAGAATAATTTATTTGTTATTTTATTTATATGTTTTATTCTATATTGTTATTTACTACAATACTTTTTGTTCTATTTTATTCTATTATGTTTTTGCAGCGTAAGTATCGATATAGTAGGCACAATGACTGTTGATGCTTTCTACAAATCTGCCGGGCTCAAATTACGAACAAACATTTACTCTTCCGGAATTATGCAACTTCATTTGAACTTAAATGATACCCGTTTAGTTCGCGTGAGCCTAGGTTTACCAAATCGTAAAGTAGATGTGCTCTCGTTGTTTTCCGACATTGCTTTCATCAAAATTAAAGGTGCCGAAATTGAAGAAAAGTCATTGGGCATCTTAGTAGTCAATGAAGATCAAAAGAATTCACGATATCCGATAGTTATACCCAAAAATATTGTCCACAACACTACCTGTAGTTGGGCCGCCTTAAACAGACTGATAGGTTTGAAAATGTGCACTGATTATCAATTCACAAATGTAACCAAAGACACTAAAGCACCTTATTTTATCTTAAATGGGCTCACACTCTTCAAGATCTCGTTGATTAAAGCTGATCCAACTGCTAAGAATTATGTATTGGAGTATAGCTGGAATAAGACTCAGGTAAGGTAAAAGTTATATGTAATTTCTCATTCAATTATAACATATTAGAAAATTTTGTATAATTTGTACAAATTTTTTTATAGATTTATAATTTTTTATAATTTTTCAATAATTAAATGATATTAATATTGGTAATGAAGATTATCCATCTCGTTTTTTTAAATATTAAAGCAAAAGATATTTCTTATAATTTTTATTAATATTCTTTTAGGAACATAACACGTTTAAGGTAATGTTCGATACACCTGGCTCGCAAGTGAATAGAAAAATAAGCGCTATTGTAGATTTTGATATAATAAATAATAACGTTACCGCTTTAATTCATTCGGCTGGTAATTCTTTGATTGCTAAAGGTTAGTATTTTTTCAATATATTCATTTTCTTCAAATTATGTAATTAATGAAAGTATTAAAATAATATCTTTAAAATTCTAGGCACATACAAACGTTCTGAAGATGAGACTTCCATAGATATCGGTTTTGATATCAATGGTACCAAGCACTTGGATGCTAGCGTGGGTTATACGAGGAAAAAATTCACTAATGGTTACACTTATCATCCTAAAGTCTATCTAACTATCAATAATGAACGCGTCGCTGCCATTTCAGGTAAGGTAAAAGTTTGTCATCTTTTCAAATGTTAGTTTCAATTTGATATATTATGAATAAATTAATAAATTTTTCTTTTCAATGTATATAAAATTGATATTAGAATTAATTTTATCATAAATATATATGTTACATTATAAAATTATATTATGATAATATATACAAGTAATACTAAAAAGATTTTTTTAATCATATTAGGTGCGATAAGAAACGCGCAAAAAAACAACATTTCTCAATTTGATATAGACTTGACTTTTCAAACAAAGCGAGTCTGGAGTAAACTAATCGGCTACATCGTTCAACGAAACATCAGTTTAGCCGGCGATTTTCAGTTAGATTATCAGTTGCAACATATGCCGAAAAGGGAGACTCTTCACTTGGAAGTCTCGCTATCTAACCGCTCATCAAAAACACTCACGCACAAGACTGCCGAACTGAAATTACAATCCACCGCTTATCCGCAACTCAATACCGTAATAAGCGCCTGGTATCAACAAGCTTTCGGGCACTTAGAGCTGCACGCCGAGATCAATTCGAATCCTCATCTCAAGGATGACCGGCATAAACTCACGGCGCAGCTTATCATCTCTTATTCGAAAATGTATTTTCAAAATCAAGGCACAAAAGTAAGCGCGCTGATAGCCATCACCAAACCTATTCAGAATTTGGATCTCAAGATGGGCATTAATCATTACGCCCTCGGCACCGAATCCAAGACCAATTTGCTCATAGGATATGCACCGGGTAAGGTGTAAACTTTATTATTAAATATATAAATACATACAATATATAATATATATTAAAGTTTTATTTGATTATAAAAATATTCAATAAATCTTTTCCATTTACAGGCAAGGAGATTAGTCTAATCATCAACATTATTATGCCGCGCAATCTGTTATTCTCCATAGAGAGCCATGCGAACCTGACAATTCCGAATTTCAATTCAATGTTGATCGATGCACGTATCAACGAGCGATCGAGACGTGAATACGAGTTAGATTTCTCTGGCACATGGTTCAGTGGCCACAACATTACCGCGCGCGGAACTTATTCCGATCGATCATCAGCTGTTATCATCAATCATCACTTGAAAATGATCTTCAAATCGCCGAGTTTCGTCGCTCCAATTCTGCTTAACTGCCACTTGTATCAGAATCACAGTGACCTCAGAGTCAGTCTATATGCCGAACAATTAGACTATGATAAGTATGCCTTTGTATTGAATCATACAATGTTGTCGACTACCAGTATAATGTCGTATATAGAAGCTAGATATCGTGGTAATGTGTATTCAGCGATGACGAATATCGATATCACGCGAGAAATTCGTTTAGAACTGCATTTAGACAAATGGCGGGACATACATTTGACCTTAAGTGGCATCAACGAAGAAAACCGACAAGAATTGGCAGCGGAAATCAAATGGGACGCCAACAGAGATCCCGCTTTGAAACTCGCTACAATATTACAATTAAATAAAGTGTTTCTAATGGATGCAGTTTCATCGGGGATCAAGCGAAATGCAATAATAACTTTAACTTATCCGGGTCGCCTAATAACTGGTTCTTGTGACTTGATTATACGTAATCCGCATAATTATTTGATAGATGTTACTGTGAATTGGAATCCAGAAAACGCAATCAAGATGTCAATCGGCGCGGACTATGATGTGCAACCAGAAGTAACATTTGTCAAATTGGAATCACAATTGTTAATGCCTTTCGAACAATGGAAAAAGACTTCTTTAAACATGAGGTAAAAGCATGCATTCAATTTTGAATTGTTTTATTTATGCGATAAAAAAATATATAAAATACTGTTATTTTTATCTTGTTTCACAAAATGTAAATTCGAATTTTATTCTTACTTCTTTTTGACGAACTTGGAAATTTAATTTCCAAAATTTTAATTATAGAAAAATAACTTTTTAACTGTTTTATTATTTTAATTCTATTATTGTTCGCAGATATCTAGAATTGTCAGATAGCGTTCAAGCTAGTATCAGTGCTTACTGGAAGGATTCTCATGTGATAACGGAATTCTATGCTAGCACAAGCGAGTATGACGACTTGAAAGAATGGCTAGCAAATTATGCATTGAACAGCACTCTACAGTCCAATTCGTGGGTAATTGTGAATATCACTCATAAGATATTACGCTCGGAAACAGCTGATACACATGTGCTGATCAAATATAATCCTGACAAAACGATTGACGCGCGTAGCATTTGGCACTTAGATAAGGAATCGGACAATGTGTTTAATCTTACCGGCAATCTGCACTTATACTCGCCTTTGGCAAACTACCGGAAGAATGAACTCAAATGTCAACTGCGTCTTATAACTAACTGGATGTTCTTCGGCGCAGCTAATCTCGAACTAGATAAACGCAAGTACACTGGCTGCTTGATCGGCGATCTCGTACGCTGGAAGGAATCTAAAGTGGAGTTCAATGTCACTACGCCGTTGAAAAAGCTCGCCTTTGTTCGTGGTAGATTCGGTCTGTCGGAAAGCAATCGGCATGCAGTAGCAGAAATTGTCACGCCGAATGGTCCGCTGGGCATCGAGGCACTGTGCCAAATCTTCACCGCTGCTTACGACTTCAATATCAAATTCATGCTAGCGACGCCCATTGAAGTGCTACAAAAGGCACTCATAGTGGCCAAATTAAATAGGCGCGAAGCCGATTTCAGGATTGGTTACAACAATATTACGGCAGGCTTTCTCGGTACTTGGCACTATCACAACATTACCGATTTCGATTATAGTTACATAGTACTCACACCATTAGAAGGTCTGCACGAATGCGGGGTGATTACCAAATTGATTGTGGTATATACAGAACTCGAAGGTATGCTAGACGTAGACACAGAATTCTCATTAAGACTGGCAAACAATAAACTTGGTGTCAAAGCTAAGGGCGGACCAAAACCTCCGCCTGTTAAGATTCCACTGAAGCCGGGAATTATATCCCCAACAGACGATTCTGATATCGATGAATTGGAAGAAGAAGAAGAGGAAGAGGAAGAAGATGAGGATGGCCTCTATTGGCGAGGCGAAATGCAGGTAATTTTAATTCAGATAAGATAAAATTCAAATTTTTATGTTAAATTTGAAATCTAATTTATACATAACATTAATTGAACATTTTTCTCTTTTCCTCTTTTCTCGGATATTAAAAATTATAGCTATGATATAAAAAATTATAACTATTATATATAAATAAATATTTTATATATATAATAAAAAATTAATTTAAATTAATTTAAAATTGAGGCATATTTATTCTCCTAATAAGAGAATATAATTATTAATTTAATATTACTAATATTATATTCGTTTATTCATTTATACATATATTTCATTCATTTATAGATATGGCTTGTAATAATCCCAGATATATCGGCAGAACTAGATATCGATACTGAAGGTGATACTTATAAGATTCTAAGCACAATACAATTGCCACCCGGCAAAATTATCATTGACGATAGCTTTTCCATGGAAGATGTTTTTCATATAAAGAATGATCTGCATATTGATTTAATGTTTAGCAGTATCAGAGAGATCACATCATTTTATACATTTTTAATTGATCCTGAAAAACTGACTTATCTTATGGAAATGAGTGTGAACGTTAGACAAAATATTACATGGATCGAGGTAATATTTTTATGTAAAATTAAAAAAAAAACATTTTTTAATACTTTTATATAATTAAATGAACACCCAGGTAGAACATGAAACTTATAATGACATCATTATGACGTCATCTAACAATAAGTCATTTTAGAAAAATCATAATGATCATTTGATATACTTTTGGCAATGTTTTGGTAACTTATTAATATCATTTTTATATATATTACGCAATTACTTGTTTAATTATTTATGTATATTTTAATTATATTTAAGCAACATAATCTTTTTAAAATTATATAATGCGATTATTGAACTTAAAAATTTATGATTCTTTTTGTCATCTTTAACTCATTTTTTAATCATTTTTGTTTAGGTAACTTTTAAATGATAAATAAAATCATGATGACGTCATAATGATGTCATTATGAGTTTCATGTTCTACCTGGGCAAATCAAATATACATATAAGTAAAGAAAATGTAAAAAATCAAATACATATCAACCAAATACATACAATAATAAAATTTTATTGTTATAGACCGGATTTCACGGCAATTATACATATCAAGGCGGCATGAATGATAAGAAGGCACATTTCGTCAGATTAAATATAAAAACACCTTTAGAATTTCTTAAGGACTTTCGTAGTAACGCAATTCTCGAAATCGAAGGGAATCTATATAAAAGTACAGTTACAATTCGTGAGAATCAATTAATCTTGGATTTATTTGGAAATATAAAGGTAAATTTTTTGATTCTTAAAATATTTACGAGTAAAAATATTTGCAAATATGAAAATATAAAAAGAAATTTTATATTAAACTTTATATATATATATATATATTATTTATTTATTTATTTATTTATTTATTTATTTATTTATTTATTTAGTTTTATATTTGTATGTATTATAAATTTTAATTTACATATAGATAGAGAAAGCTTTGTTTGATATAATGATTTCTGGTGCAATCGATTCACCCCTTATGAAAATACCAAAAACTACAATCGCCGCAATAAAGAATTTTACCGGTAATAAAAAGCAACTTAAATTCAATGCAAGAATCGAAGAGCCTGTATCAAAATATGTAAGTATTAATATTTGTAATTAGGTTATAAGTTAATAATTAATTTGTTATTCGCGATTAATGTTAGTTGTAAGTCTTACATAAAAATTAAATATTATTATTATCTAAATAAAATAAAATTCAAATTCAAATTATAATTTTTTTCAGACATCCTTCGAGTCTGCCTGGCAAATAGACGAACATCTTATGCAAGCTTCTGCAAAATTAGAAAGTTGGATAAAGGTTTTAGAAGCACTGGAAGCTGACATTCTATATAGCAATGCGATTCGTGTAAATAATACCGCTAAATTGAACGTACGCGTAATGCATCTCGGCAATCAAGAATATCAGCTAGCTGGAAATCTAAATAATGGTAAGATCGATGCCGATCTACATACGCCGCTGTCGCAAAAGCCTCATTTCCAGTTCCACGGAGATTTAAGACAGATTAATGAATCATTGTACGATGTTAGAGGAGAATTAAAGGACCAGCTGCAAGTAAAATCTTATGATGTCAGCTCTGTTATCTTCGTACAGAACGATACTTTGGCTTCGATAGATGTGAGAGCTGAGCCGAAAAGCGCAAACACCGATCGAATCATTTTGAGATTGAAGAGGAAGACATACGGTCTTTTGTTAGATGTCGACAGTGGGTCATTTAATGGTACCGTCGATGCAAATATTCTCAACAGTCTAAATTGGGATGTGAGAGTTCACACGGATATTGAAAAAGCTAATAAAATAGATACTTATCAGCTGAATACTTTCATGAACGTGCAAGTAAATGGCAACGCCACTCTGTACATTCAAGCCGAGACACCTTGGAATGATAGCAGAATTATGACGGTAAACGGCAATATGATGTTGACCAACACGAGCGGTAACGTTCAGCTAAATCATCGATTGAATGACGATAAATGCCATGCAGCTATTCAATGGAAACTAATGTACATGGAAGATATGTTATTGAAATTGATCGCAGGATATGACACCGCAAATCTAGGCAAGAAAGAGCTTTCGACTCATGTATTCTTCAAGAATCTTGATCGATTATATAGAAATATCGATGTAAGTTTGGATTTAGACATTGATCGAAAAATGTGGGAGTTCGAAACGAATGCAACCATAAGTTTTCGCAATATGCAAAACATGGACGCGGTATTCGTTGTGAAATTGCCACCTCCGAATAATGATGACCATCGGTTCTTGATCAGTTACCATACTAACAAGGAAATGCAGGATATTTCTTATGTACTGGGCTACAATGCTATTCAAGCGAAGAGTAATTATGCTTCGGATGGATCGGTTTGTATTAATAAATAATATTTTTTAATATTAATAAATAATAATAAAATTAATCTAAATAATACATATTTAAATAGCTTTTACTTTATGAAAAGTATTTATATGGACTGAGAGAGAGAAAGAGAGAGAGAGAGAGAGAGAGAGGGAGAGAGAGAGAGAGAAATATAAAACTTTTTAAAATATATATATTTAATTCTCTTTTAAGAAAAACTACAAATTTTTAAAAAGAAACGTATTAGTACAAAAATATTTTTAGAAAATTTTAAAATAAAATTTTCCCATTTAAATTATATTTTCTTTTTTGTTATCTCTTTCTTGTATATTTATATGCATAATTAAATTAAAACAAAAATATTTTATTTTTCTCAAGTAATAATGATGTAAAATTTTAGATTCATATGGCTACGCGTGATATTAATGGGCACTTGCGATTGACATGGGGTTTACTACCAACGCAATCTGTGAACAATCTCTTTAATATCACTTTCAATAAAAAGGAAATTGAGCTCAAGTATTCTTTATATACACCAAAATTTCTGCAAGAAGAAACGCTTGTATTCCTCTTTAGTTACGACGCTAATTCCGCTGAACGAACTTTAATTAATGCTGATCTCTTTTATCCTTCAAGACAGCAGATTGGAACTGCAAGAATATTTTATAAAAGTTTAATCAACATTAATGGAACTATTAATGCTTCCATATCTACGCAGAATTTATTTTTCATCGGATGCGATTTTATTGTACTTACCACTTTGTAAGTAAATCTATTATATTATAAAAAAAGAAATATATGTATATAATAATTCATTGAGTCACAATATAATGTTTAAAAATCAAAACTTTTCTACAAATAATTAATAAGTAAATTAAATAACTTAATAATTAATTATTTTATTTTATTTTTTTTATTTCCTCTAATTATTGTTTCTTTTACAGGAAGCAGAATAAGAGATTCATCGAGTGCTTTTGGCCTAATAATACGGCTTTGCTCAACTCTGATTACACTTATTATAGCGAGCGATTAGATTCGAATCTAGAGGGTATTTTGCACGTAGAAATTCCTTTGACTGCTCGTCATATCGGTCATCTAACTTACGGTTATAAGAAACGTCCACAGGTCACCACAGGCCATTCAGTCTTGACGTATAACGATCTGCAGATGTTACATGGCCAATATAATTCAAAGAGTGAATCGCGGGCTGGTTTCGATAAAGAGCACATTCAAATTACTGTGCAGAACGTTTATAGACCTATAGGTATCGTCTACGTGAACCAATATGAATATAGTGGTGGAAACGAGGGAACTAACTATCCCACCATCGAATTCAAACAAGTAAATATTTATCGATTAGACAACAGCTCGGTCTTTAACATCACCGGTGAATCCAGGATTCGAACTACTCATACCGGCCAGGACATCCATTTGAAAGCGATACATTTGAACAAAACGATTCAATTAAAGATAGATTATCAGGTATTGCCTGGCGAGTTCGATCAAAATACGTGGTTAAGTTTAGCCGAGGATGCCTGGGTGTCTTATCATATAAACATCCTGAATAAAACCACCGAAGATATGGATAATCAATTCCTCATCCTTAGTTTATCTTATCCCTCACGAAACTTCACTATAGATGGCTTGTATAAGATTACCAGCGACGAAGTAAGCTCCGAAGCAAACTTACAATGGGAACATGACGATGAGAAGTCGAGGATCGTTGGTGCCGCCTTCAATTGGACGAATGACAATATCACATCCGTAGAGAACCAACAGCAAGTCGTATTGAGTTTTCGACATCCGACTTTTGAAAAGAATGTCACGTTAAAGGGCATACTAATGAAAAGAGATCATAGGGATTTATTAAACGCCGTCTTCGTCGCGGATTATTCTACCAACGAGAACAAGTTGTTAACATTGTCCGCCCTGTTGAGAGACGAGAGTGATGCATCAAGCAGGAAATATCTCTATAAAATAACCGGCAAGCATGTTAATATTAGATTAGACCTCGATATCGAAGGATTCGTTCGCAGACAAGGATATATGTTGCTCGAAACGGTAAATCACGCTCGATACATGCGCGGCTATACATCGAGTGAAACTGGAGAATTGATCGGTCGAATCGATCGAAAATCGAAAGAGATATTTTTCCGACGAGTAAATAATGATGCAATTAAGTATTTCGCGATCGGTTATTATCCTTCATCTTCTCGTTACGTCATGAATGGTAGCGCTATCAACACACCGGAACTCAACGCTACCGGCATTTTCTTTTTGGATCCTAGTGAGAATCTTATCTGGTCGATGGTTAATTACACGCCCGGTGAGTTTATGAAAAGTTAGAAATTTTTAAAAGAATTAATCATTTATGTATATATCGAAATAAGAAAGTATATATTAAATTAAATTAAATAAGATTTTAAATAAAAAAATAATAAAATGTTATAAATAGTCTTATTTAAAATTTTTAGAAATAAAAATGTATCTATTTTATTTTATTTTATTTTATAGAAAACTTTTGAAATTTTTTTACAAATATTTTAAATAAATTTTTCGTTGCTTTTATTTTCTTTTTAAATACATATTTTAAAACTAAAATTGAAACAATTCTTTTTGAGTTCTTTATCCGTTTTTTTTACATTCTACATTGTTCTATAGATGCACAAGTAAGTTTAAGAATGCATGGCAATATTCCGGATGCTCGAAATGCTATATTTAACATTTGGAGAACCTATGATGATGATTTAACAATTTCGGACGTTTCATTCTACTTGAAATTAAATCATTCAAGACTTGTTACTTCAACTTTGCGATGGCGGCCCGAACTCAGGAGTGATATTATTGTAAGTTAAATATACTATATTAATTTAATGCAATATAATTATTTAATATATTTATTTAATGTAATGTAACATGAATATATTTATTTAATTATTAATTTATTTATGCAATATAATATGGGATTATGATTACTTGCAGATTGCTATAAAAACAACTTTTAATGAAATGTGTGAAAACATAAACAATGATATCGATTATTGGAAACAATATATAAAAAGTGAAGTATTAAATTCCATTACAGATGTGTGGGAAGACGCTCAGCAAGATATTTCAGGTTTTCTTGACGATTGGTAGTAAGTATTTAAAAAAGTAAATGTTAAATAACTATAATATTAAAGTAGATATTTATTACAATAAATTTAGATAAATAATAAAAATGAAACAATAAAATAAAAACAAATTAAAATAAAATTTAATTTCTGTAATTATATATTATTATATCTTTATATTATATTTGTTTAGTGATCTAAAGAATCTCGAGCATGACTTTGAAGATCTCAAGGTATATTTGAACAAATCCTATAATGCCAATCACTTTTACATCAAAGATGTCGTTGTTCTCGGGATATATGTCATCGATGAATTGTCCTTGCGAAGTCATATTCAGTCTCTTCCTAATATTATCAACGAGATCTGGGGAATAATGGGCGATTCTGGCGAAGCCTTGCGCAATTCATTGCTCTGGCTAATCGAAACCATTAAAAATGCTTATCACAAAATATCTGATATTATCATTGCTGTATTAAGAGGTGACTCGTTATCACAAGTGGCGAATATAATAGAGAAGCTGATTGAGAAATACGACATGTTCATCAAGGATCTGCACGTATCTTTCATTAAGTACGTTGAAAATCTTTGGAATACAATTTCTTCATCCATCTCGGAACAATGGTATCGCTGCTTGAAGTTAATGGAACCTTTATTTATCCGACTTATTCATTATCTTGAGACAGTCGTCTGGAAAGCGAGCAAAGAAATGGTTGACTTCTTGTACGACCGTAAAAAAGAAATCATTGCATCGCCGTATTTCGATCGTTTTACCAACTTTACGCAAGATATCGACAAAATCTATCGCGACATTAAAGCAAATGATATAGTGACCAATGTGTACAAATATTCGAGTCTAATGATACAGTTCATAAAAGAACGCTACTTTACCTTTGTACCATTCGGTAAAGAACTTAAAGATGTCACAGATGAAATCATGTCAGAAGTAAAGGAGCTTCGAAAACTACCGTCAATCAACTACGCTCTGGAGAAATTCGAGCAGATGTACGATAGAATCGGCTACTTCTGTGAGTACTTTGAAGTCAGGACTAAGATAGAAAGTTTTATCCGGCTGGTGCACTCCAAGATTATGGATATCAGCCAAACAGCGTTACAAGCAGAAAATCGCTACAGGGAAGCTAAGACTATGTTCATCTTCGATCCTAATCAGGGTCTGATGTGCTTGGAGCAGAAATTACCCATGTCTTGGCACGCCTTCAATCAGACGCCTGAATTCCAGGAGATACCAGAAATCAGAGCAATTATGGACATCAAAAAATACTTTGTTACCTCGAACACTACTTTTTGGAGTCTTTATTATCAGTATAAACCATACTCGGAGCTGTCAAACTGGTTACCGCCATTCAAAGGTTTGTTTAACAAAATTAAATTATAATAAAAATTAATAATATTAATTATTTCTTGATTGTTTTTAGCTTTTTCTCTTATATGCTCTTGCTTTATATTTGTGCAATTATATGATCGTATAAAGTGAAAATACAAATGAAAGATAAATATCTAACATATTTTATGTCTTTCATTTGTTTGCTCTTGTAGGAAAGCAAAAAAAAACAATAGTTACTAGAAAATCCGAAAATAATTGATATAAAAAATTCTTTTATGATTATTTTAAATTTAGTTAAATACATATTTGTCTTGATTAGATTTACTAAAATTTTAATAAATAAATCGGAAAACTAATTTTATTTTTAGTAATATAATAATATTTCATAATATTTAAATAATATTTCATTCTTTTAGCGCAAGCCATGATTATCGGCTCTCATCATTATATTACTTTTGATGGACGTTACTTTGATTTTGCTGGAAATTGTACCTATTTATTAGCAAAGGATTTTGTACACAATACTTTCGCGATTTTGGTGAAATATAATATACAAGCCGAAGGGATCACTCATCAGATCATAGTATTGATTGGAAACAACGCTATCGAACTGGATCTCTTCAACGATGTTAGTATAAAATTTATTATCATAACAAGAATTAAATTAAAATTTCAATCAATTTCACCTAAAAAGAAATATTTATAATAATTATATATTTCATATTTAATAATTGTGCGTGTACGCAGCACATACCATATCATATATTATTTTACAAAAAACATATCTGTGCCTCGAAAAATAAAAAATTTAGCAAAGGATATCTATCATATTTTTTTATCGCTTTTTCATTATAAGATAAACTAATATTTTTAATGATACGGAATATACTTAATTGATGTTTTAATATAAAATACAATGTATTTTTCAGACAACGAAGCTAATCTCCCAATCATCCGGTACTACGACGAATCTGCAGCTGCCGATAGAATTGGATCACGGCACGACATATGTTTACCAAGAGGAGAACGTGGTAACGGTAGAACGTAAGCACAACCAATTCCGGCTAGAGTGTAATCTCAAGTTTAATTTGTGCACTTTGGAACTGTCTGGCTGGTATTATGGGAAAACTGCTGGTCTCTTTGGTACAATGAGCAACGAACAGTTTGATGACATCCTGGGATCGGACAAACTATTTTTAAAAGATACCGGTAGTTTCGCTCACAGCTGGTCTATCGACGAAAATTGTGCTGATACGATGAATCACGCCAACAAGATCCAACATCACGACAACGTAATATTCAAGTTCTGTGATGAGCTGTTCATGAATAAGAGCTCGGAATTTGGCATCTGTTTCGGTGTGATCGATCCATTTGTATACGCTAGTATGTGCCTGAACAGTTTCACCGAAGCCGAGGCATGTACAGTGGCAATATCATACATGCAGATATGTATGTTCCGCGATACTTACCTGAGAATACCCGATAAGTGCACCACATGCACCATGATGGACGGTAGCCAAGTAACCGAAGGCGATTTCAAACGATTGGAGGAAGACAAAGTGCCCCGATCGGCCGATGTGGTATTTATTGTCGAGGCAAAGAGCTGCAATCGCGATACGAAATTAAATAGCAGCATGGAATTGTTAATTACACAGCTCGACAAGGAGCTGAATGACCGAGGTCTTACGGGAAATCGATGGTCCTTGATAACATTTGGCGGTGACAAAGTGCACGATCAACCCAGAAGCATCATTCTTGACGGACAGATTTTCACGAAGAACGTAGCACGCTTCGTCGATTATTTAAGCTATGTACCAGTAGGCAGCGGTAGTCAAGACATTTTCGCTGCGATTGGATTTGCTTCGCGGCTCGTTTTCAGGGCTGGCGTGTCAAAAACCTTCATATTGATGCCATGCTCGCATTGCGAACCGGAGAATCAAACGGTAAATTTTATTTTTAAAATGTTTATTTTTAAAATTTCATGAAATTTTTAAATTGGAATTCTATAATTTAATTCACCTTTTTTTACTTCAGCTGGAGTACTCTGTATTACACCAAGTATTGTTGGAACATGATATCACTCTTCACATATTAATGGATGGCGATTTCCAATTTGAGAAGGAGAAGATTGGCAAGATGTTGTATGGCTTGGACGCGACCAAATCGTACACTAAGAAAGACTTTCGAATACTAACCGGCGACATAGATCTACGAAGACAGGTCAAACTTTCCAAGAACGTGCTAGGTTACTGCACACCACTGGCCTTGGAGACGAACGGCACGATATTTAGCGGCGATAAACTGCGTCGTGAGAAGTTAACTTTAATTAAAAAATTTGCGAGCGTTTTCGCAAAGAGAGTCGCTTTTACAGCTGAGCCAAATAAATGTCAACTGTGCGAATGCACTGCTGATAATAATGGTGTTACACAGATGGAATGCATGCCCTGTGTATATCCAATGCCCATGCATGTGGATTACGTGAGTGTACGTACACAAATTTTACAAAAATTGTCAAAAGTCAAGAAGCCTTAAATAGCGAAAAATATTTAAAAAATATCTGAAAATTTTATAAAAAAGCATTCTAAACATTTTTATTATATTCAATATTTTTCTCATATATTGTATATCTAATGAAATTATTTTCCTTATATTATGTTACAGGAAACTTTTAATCTCAACGAATCACTCTCGATGATGCCGCCATTAGATAGCATTGATTATGGCCAAATCGATATAGAGGACGATTGAAAGTATAAAACATAGTTAAATAATGATTAGATGTTAGATGACTCGCCGGTATTAATCATATTTATTTACAATATTCTTTGTAATATAAGATAAATATCTACTTCCCTTTCTTACTTCCAATTCAAAATTTGTCTTATATTGGAAGTAATATAAAATATATATTAAAATCATATAATTACATTAATAAAGTTATATCACGATCATTCAAGTATTAATAATTATAATTTAGAAAAAAATTCATGACTATCGTTGAAATATAATTATAAGGCTATGAAGGAGGGGAAGTGTGGTATGATCATTATGTAAAAGCACAAAACACAAGGTCGATATATAAAACTTTCTTGTCTATATATATATTATCTGTATATAATATGTGTCTGAGACTTATATATATATAAAAATGTAATGCAAACCGGGAAATGGCAATTGATTCGCGTTACACTCTTTATGCGCACACGTGCACGCATCTTAAATCGCATTTATATCTTATTCCAAAGTAGAATATGGCGAATATATTCGAACATCTGTCTCTTCGCGAAATTCTCCCAATGTAACAAAGAAATAAACCTTATAACGTACAAAGTAAATCGAATAAACTTAATGATCAACGCGGAAACAAAACGTAAAAATGTTTCGCGTATTTCGGAAACTTTCAATATGGCCGTGATAGATTGAACGTCACATTATATATAGCGACGATAGAGACGGAAGAAGAGAGCCGGCGCGTTAACACAATACTACCAGCCCCTCACAGTTTGGCCACTATATTCATAATAACATTAACCCAAATTCGTTAACTGAACATGGTCACCTAGCCGTAGTATCATAAGCTTGCAGGTGATTTGGCGCGTCGGCGAATGCGTATTTTAATTTGTATGCTTCGGCTACTAGCATGCCGATCTCTGAATCCGTCCAGTTTTGCGTGGGCAGGTTTTGTAGCATTAACATTAGCCCCTGTATATTAAAATTAAGTCAATTAAGCAAAGATCGAGTTTTAAATTTAAAATTAACATACAGTAGTGAATTGAGAGATAAATTACTTGAAAATCAGGTTGCAGAAGTAAATGTCGTCTCCAAAGTAGAAGAAAGGCCGCGCATACATAGAGCTGAAACGATGCGAATCTATCAGACTCTGCTAGATAAGTATCCCACAATCGAATGGTACAATGAAGCGGGATTTCTCTGGTCAGTAAATTGTTCATCCATCGAAAGGAGAATTGTAGATAATCCACCCCGTGCTGATGTAAATGTTGATGCAATGGTGCTGAGTGGAATGACAGTTGCATTAGAAGAAAAAAAATGCGAACATTTAATACAGTATGTATATAATTTGTTTTTATCGAGATATTCACCATCGATTCTTTGTATCAGTTCCTTCAACTGATTTACTTTGTGCTGAATTCCCAATTGAGCAAATATATAGTTGTCCTGTATACCATCCAAGAATTTTGACAGACACCAGAAGCTATCTGCTTCGATGATGTCGCGCTGCTCCTTCGACAGCGACGCTACATCATAATTTTCTAGATCCTGCCAAGCTTGCACTGGTATCGCCTCTTGCAAGAAGACTAAGAAGAAGGGCGTCACAAGATCATTCATACCCTATAATAATGATTGATATATCAAATCAATTTTAATTTCTTATAATATAATACAGTAGATGGTTTAATAATAAACACCTGAACATAACCAGATGCGGGATGCCTGATCGCCCAAATATACAATATTCTTTCGAATATCAGTTGCACTGTCGTTTGCTGAAATAGCGAGATGAGTGGTGACATTCTAGGAATATCGATGTGAATTTGACGATATGTATCTTGAAAGCCTTCATCTCGTTCGACATCATAATATTGCTTGACCAAATTCCAATAGTCTAGTCGTTTGCGCTCCAATGCATGTTGTCTACGTTCTAGATTAGCTGGCAAGTATTCCTACAATATTACGACCATGGTCGCTTATTGCTTCGCCGTAGAAGTCGTCGTGTTCGATAATGTACAAATTGTTTACCTTCGCTACTTACAGACAACAACCTCCAAGTGACAGAACGTAATTTGGCAGGCACACCCGACCATGACAAGTGTCTTAATTCGTCCAAATTCAGAACGGACGCTTCCAAAAGTAATTGAAACTTGTCCACTTTACTTTCACCATCTAAACAGATTCATAAACGATTCTTAAATCCCGTGTCTTAAGGATTGCTGCTGAATATGCGACAAATAGATTCACACCTTGCTCCTTTGAAGGTATAAAAAATTTATTGGGAGCATTTGTTTGTCTTAATGGTTGGGGTCTACCAGGAAATTGTGTTGGTTTGTGCTGAGGTGATACACCATACTTCACATCTATATTTTCACTGGGATGTTGACTATTATTCACTTGGAAATTCAAATTTACATTGCGTAAATGTAATGGCTGTACTGCTAATCTTTGAAGGGCCTCCGCCTTTTTCTCTTCTGGAATAATTTCTTGTTGAACTACTTTGGTATTTGCCTGTAGCAATTGCGAACACTTATTGCTAGATCTATGATTGTTGATAACACTAAGAGCTGCTGATTGGCTGACTTTCTTCGATATCTTCACATCCGAAACTGTGCAAAATTCATCATCCCCCGAATCCCATGCATCATCTACGCTCTCCTGAAAATCTTGAAAAGAAGTGGAGCCTCCACTTCCACCTGTACTACCACTACTATTAGCAATATTAGTCAAATTGCTAGATCCAATTGCCGTGGAATTAAATTTATTGTGTCTAATATCCTGCTTCAGACTTGGCCTTCAAATAAATTAATCAATGACTTAATAAGTATATTGTAAGCAATTCTTAGCACAAATACACAGAAAAAATCTTAGACAATATATACCTTCCTGGCACCGCACGTGTGTTCTTCTTCCAGAAAGACTGATGGGTTGAAAGGGTTTGATGATGATAGCCTTGATTTTCCATAATGAAAATCAAGTTAACTAGCACCAAATAATTTTTCAATACAGTTACTACAGTATGAGTAGCTCTTCATGCCCCTCAAGCACAAGCACTGAAAATCTGTAAGAATCAAAAATTTGTCCTTTTCTTTGCAATATTATAATAAACATTGTGTATGTATATGTGCATGACATGATATGCATAACAAAGAGATGTAAGAGATGCTCAAGAAAGATAATGGAAAATTATGTTATAAACTGTGTAACAATTAGCATTCCAGCAAAAGTATAAAATCCATAGATTTCATATCTTTTATAGAATATAAGAATTATCAAGTATAGAATACAAATTCTTCTTAGATTGAGTATGATTGATAATGGCACAAGTATCACAAGCGATGTCTAGAAAAGAAATAAAAGGTCGAACAAGGGAGAATATATGATGGAAAAACTGCGGATTCTTCAAAATAACAAACGTATAATCGTAACATATGATTTCCTGGGAACTCGATGCACGACAATAATATCGTACAATTCCAAGGCGACAAAGCCCTGACGTGCCATAGCGCTGTATTCCTATAATTAAATTACACAAACGCACTTTGCGAGCTGACAGAAATACACGTCTACGCAGTGGAAATCTGACTGTTTTTGCAGCTGAGAAGGTTATGTTGCGTAAGTTGCGTCGGTCGATGGTGCGAGAGAAGCTGTGATCAAAAAGAGGACGAGAAGAGGATGCGGAGACGAGACACGCTTCGCCTACATCTTTCGCTGAATGACGGCGGCGAGATGATTGAATCTCGATCTCCCGCGAAAGCGAGTCGAAGCGAGCCTAGTTTACGGTCTAATCGGGCCTCCGGATATGTCAGTTGGAGTATCTTCTACTGCGGCCGCGACCTCGCGACGATGACGTCGTCGTCGGAGTGATTTTTTTTTTTTTCGTCGTCACGATAGATCGCGATTTTGACGCATTCTCTCTCTCGCGCGCGTCTTTAGAGGACGCTCCGAAAACGCCCTTCGGAGCCACGATCGGTGACTCTGCTCGTCGCAGTCGTCGCGTCCAAGCGATTACATACGGCTTTGACGTATGATCATCTGACGCGAGCGCTGCTATCACGAGCGCTGCTACCTCTAGTCTCAGGTCTTCATTATTTTGCAACACATCTCTTGTGTACTTTTTACGTAAGATTGAATAAGTATATATCTTAGAAAGCTGGAGAAAAAGAAGGAGGAAAGATAAAAGGAGCTATTACGAGAAAGAAAAAATATGGAAGATGCAGTAAAAAGAGCCTGTGCATCGCTCTTTTTAGACCTTGCCTTTTGTTTCCTTCTGGCATTGTATTATGATTACGATTAAATATAGAAGTGATCTCAGTCTGATGAGATTCAAGATTCGTGTTTTCAATCAATTTGTGTTTTTTTTCAATAATCAAGAGATATGTATATACATATGATGTAATATTTTGTATTTTGTAGTTTATCCAGTATCAGGTTTCTTGTTAATATATTCGTATGCGGAAATTAAAATTTAATGCAGATAGCACGTACATACGTGTCAAGCAATAATTATACTACTATATATATGTATATAAAATTGTATTCCATCCGTGAGAATTCCATTTTTATTCAAGGCCAAGGCCAAAGTTGATTTTGAAATTCTCGATAAATATAGCGATTCAAGAAATTCCTACTATAATTTGATAATATATTAATTAAATAAAATAACTATATAAAAGATCATTATCTTAATTTTTAATTTTTTCAAGAGAGAGAGAATTTCATAAAAATTATATAAAATTTCATATATTGTATGATCTGACAAACATTTAAAAATAAGAACAACCAAGCATTAAAGAAGCCAAACAATAATTACACATTCGCATGTTGAAAATTGCGTTATCCAAACTGCAATTATAAATATTTCGTAAATGTATGCATTTGTATGTCTTTCAATAGATTTATGCATTTAAATCTAATTATGTAATACGAAACAAATTATGTACCATGTTACATAATTCAATCTCGTCCAGTCAAAATCATATGTTTTCTCAATATAAACCGATTGCAAATTTTAGTGAACTTTTTAACATTAATTATCGTATAAGCTTTATACATTATTCTTAAAATTCTATTCCTAAAAACTTAATGTTTATTTATATAACATTTTATAGTCTCATTTATTAGATCAATATATTTCATAGGCGCTGGGATTTTTATTGGAATTCTGTTTTATTTTTTTGGCAGCAGAGAGAATGATAATAAATAATCTATATCTCCTAAAATTTTTTATTTAGAATTATAAATCATTGTATAAGATGAAACTTTATCATTACATAAAAATATAATAGGAAAGTCAAGATACATTGTGACATTAGTCTTTTTTATTTATATATAGAATGTCTTTGAAGCTACGATTTTAATGTTAATCATAAATTCATTGCTAATTTAAAGTAAATATGTTTTAGCATATAATTATAATATTTAAATATTATTTGAATATTATATTTAGAATTATAATATTTAAATATTATTTGAAATACTTTGAAGTACTTTATGTTTTTCTGAGAATCATCGGTTATTATGAATTGTGTCATCTTAACATTGTTGGCTTAATGACGGAAAATTACTTTTCAAATAATTTCTTATTATTATCTTACAATTATCTTACAATACAGTCTTAGTTTTTTTATACTTGAAATGATTATGTACATATATCAATTCAATCTGTACGTAAAGTAATTTGCGAGATAATTTATTGAAGAAAAAGTACTTGTCATTGATAAAAAGAAGATAAATAGTGGAAACATCCGTATCTTAATAAAAAAATATGATTATAAATAAAAGATAGATCACATTTTGATCTGTTATTATATTTTATGTTTCATATTGAGATATTTTGAGATATTTATTCATTTGAGATATTTTGAAAAAATGAACATTTTATTTTTATTCGATTAGTTTATGATTCTTCCTTTTTTTCCTGAAATGTTCATCGTTGAAAATTATCTTTGCGAAAAAATATGTATTATACGATGAAATCTTTTTCAAGAAAATGCAAATTTTCTTCTTTTTATATTAAACGCTATCACTTTTTCAGATATGATACTTTTATAAAGTATTAAGAAGCTTTTATGAAAACTCTTTCTCTCTAGTTCTTTTTCGATTCACTTTTAATATGCATGCATTTTGCAACGATTAATTTAGATTGATATAAATATCCTGTAGATTTGAAAAAAATTATATGGCTGGCAATGAAAATATGCTAAATCAAAAGCTTATTAACAAGTTTTCAATGCATGATTTTAATTACTATGTACGTTCGATGAAGGTCTTTTATATATTTAAAAAATAGGCTAGAAAAAATTCGAAACAAATATTTTTCTAATTTCCCATATAACTCTAATCTAATCATAGAAAAAAATAAGTGTCAAATTAAAACTTATATACTTAAACTAATGCGTTCATTGTTTCGTATTTATTGTCACGCAACAATTTATAATCTTCTTAGAAGAATTTAATAATTTAATAATTTTAAATTTCAATATTGTCAATATTCAATATTCAAATATTGTCTTATTTTAATATTGTAATTGTCATCTCAAGAATATTTAATTATTTAATTCTCTACTTTAAGAAAATTATAATCTTTGATTTCAAAATGTTACTTTCTATCTAACACTATTTCTTTTCCATTCAAGAAAATTAAATCTGAAATCATAAGAATATATTTTTCTTGATCGGACTATATGGCTTCATTCAAGTAAGCAATTATCTTTTTCTTTAATTAACGCAATATAATCTCACTTCAAGATTTCCATGTTAAAATTAAATATATTTTCCAAACAAGAATGCCCTTTTTTCTGTGATCTAATGACATTGTGAAATCTCCATAATATTGTTTCGCGATCCTAGTATTCGCACATTGTACTATTCCCGAAAATGCGAACCACGTGTCATCGACGAGAGTCGATGCTCCGGTTTCGCGGTCGGTCAGCGTGCTCGTCGCTGCTCGGCATTTTTCGGCGCTCCTCGGTAATCGCCCGGCTTCACGCGGATAGTTAAGGGTGAGCATGGAATCGCGTCCGTCGTTTACGTCAGTTCACGCCGAGCTTCCTCGCGTGCGGGTTGCGGCGTGGATCATCGAATCTTTTACGTGTCTTCGCGATATTTCCAATAGCCTCGTGTTCGATCGAGAAGGAAGTGCGTGTACATCGCGACCTTTGATGACATTCACCACGCAGGATCGCGGAACGAAAGGATTTACTACCAGTATACATTGCCTGGCACGTTCTACGACGACGATCGATCGTAGACGCGTCCACCTGCATCTAACGCGCGCGTCTCTCCCAGTGTTTTAACGAGGCACGCATTGCGCTCTATTTACAAATGAATTATTGATGAAAATTGATCTGTCGTTATTACGCGCGCTTCTATACGTACTTTCTCGTCAAGAAATAAAACCGTGTTATATGATTGTTGAATATTTAAAAAAAATATCGAAGAATATGCGAGAGATTGTTATTATTGTTATGTTAGCTATGCCACAATGCTTAACCTGTGTTATCTTGTGATACCGCAATTCTTTGATAAAAATTGATCAATGTGTTGTCGCTAAATTTTTTATTAGCGATTTAATATTCGTTGCTCAAAAATAACATTGCCCGAAATAATATAATTTTTGCTATACATATCTATATATTTTATTTGAACCATACATGGAAATAGTTGTTTCGCATTTATCGATTTTAAATATCTTCTTATTATGATACTTACACGATAAAACATAATTGCATGTCGACATTTTTTTCAAGGTTAATTGTAATAATAAAGTATTTTACACAAGAGAGAAGTAAAGACAAGATTAAAAGAATTGTAAAAATTTAGTATGAAAAATTGCTTTCTAATCTTCTAAGAGATTAACATTCAAATTTTTAAAGTCTTTCTTATATTTTTGCTTATATCTTTCTTTATAAGAGAGTGTGTAATCGATCAAATTGTTATTTCTTGCCATGCGTATTGCATATAAAATTAAAAAAGACTTATTTTTAAACCTTTTCTATTAAATCTCGAATATATATTTTGTATTTTAATTTATAATTATTTTAATACAAAAATGAAAATTATTGTTACATAAGTAAATTTAAGAATCCGATTTTCCCCAAAATATATTATTAATCGCGCGATCTATTTTTCATCTCGTATAATACACTTTAGGAAAGTACATTTGTTGCAATCTTATCACATTAAGCTTAAGGAAGTAATCGTCCTAATCGTATCGCAAAGTCTACTTTAGAAATCGCAGATAAAATCCAGTTTGTTTTCACAAATACATTTGCAAATATAATCGGTGCAAACGACGGCGCATCGCGCAGAATTGCGCGAAAATATTTCGCGAGCACGCGCGCGCTTTCTCCATTCCCCTCCGGCTGCGGATTTAGGAAATGTAGGTCTCTCCTAGTCTTTTATACTTTCTTCGTGGCAGTCTACTTTCCTCGTGCGGTGCTGAAATTACTGTCCGTCGTGCTTTTCAATTTGTGTGTCACGGTCTGTTTCTCTTGCAGCTTATTGGTTTTTCGAGCGAAAAAAACCTAAATATTCCGATTTCGATAAGTTTAATTTAAAATTCATAATATTATTTTCTGTGTGTGATAATATGATAATATTGTGAATTTTAATTTTTCACGACGATATTTCGTGATCGTATATGTGTTTACTTACGAGACTTTCTGCCTGTAAACAAAATCAGGATTGTTCCGTAAATTGTACGCTTTTATGTGGAAAAGCTATCTATTAACAAAATAAAATTACACACATATTTTTCGAATAAAGATAGAGAAAATATATAAAATGATTTATTACGGAATATCTTTGTTTATAAAAAGTTAATTTTACTATTTTCGAAAAATTGCAATTTTAATCAGTTCAATTTAAAATTCACAATATTATTTCTTGTGTGCGATAATATGATAATATTGTGAATTTTATATCACGATGATATTTCGTGGTCATATATGTGTTTATTTACGAGACCTTCTGCCTGTAAACAAACAGGCAAAATCGGGATTGTTCCATAAATTGTACGCTTTTATGTGGAAAAGCTATTTATTAACAAAAAAAATCACACACATTTTTCGAATAAAGATAGAGAGAATATATAAAATGATTTATTACGGAATATCTTTGTTTATAAAAAGTTCATGTCATTGTTTTCGAAAAATTGCGATTTCGATACGTACGGGTTTTATAAGAATAATTATTTAAAAGATAACTATATTTTCCCTTCCTCTATTATATTTAGTCGTATTTCGTTATGAATTTTTTTACTCCCCAGCATTGAAGGGCTTCTCAACTCGTCTAGCCATTAATGAGTAAAAATTGAAGAAAGAGAGCAGAAAATAAGAAAGTTAAACTATTTATTCCATTATCCCACATTCATGTTAGAATTAAAATAAAAGTTCGATTTCTTTAACTCTTTTAAAAGCTGATTACTATGAGTGTAATAATTTCTGTAGCAACAAACTCAAATTAAATAGATGCGATGCGAGATCCATTTAAAGATCTCATTTGAGATAATATCTTAGATTTAAATTATCTTAAAATATCTTTAGATTAAAAACAAAAAATATTCTAAATTAGAAATATTACCAAACAAAAAAGTGTATAATAGCTTCTATTTAAGTAAAGCTTTTAGCTCGCTTAAACTTGTAGTTGTTTTTTTTTATGTTGATTGTGATGTAAAAGTGTTCAATATATCCAATATTTTCCTCATGATTTACCATAATCATTATTTTTAATCATTATTATTTTTGTTTAATTAATTATTATCAGTTATTATTCACCAATTATCAGATATAACTTTTTTGTATTAGTTCGAATGTCAAAATATTCCATCACGTCAAAGTAATTAAAAAAACATTATATAAAAGCGCTGCGTTCGCGGAAGTATCTTTGTAAAAAATTTGCTTATATTATTTATAAACAAGTTTAATATCTTTAAACATTTATTATCAATAAAATTGCGACATCAAAGCTTAAGTCGAGCCAATTGGAAATTTGATTTCTCAACTCAATCTTTAATACGTAATTTAATATATAATTATTATATATATATATATATATATATATATATATATTATATATAATTTATATATAATATAAATTACTTTTTTAAATAAAATTATTTATATTGTTTTTACAGAATCAATTTCCTAACAAATTGAAAATGTCAGACATTGAAGGTGATGATGAAGTAAGTTGAAATATATGTAATATATTTTAACATTTGCTCTTTACATAATTGTTTTTATCTTTTTGTATCGTATTGATTATGTATGTATTTTGTTTTTTTTAGTTTCAAGACGCTCAGGAATCATTACCACAGTGCGTATATATATATATATATATATACACATTTGCATTTTATTATTTTATGTAAATGCATTTTTTTTGTACTGTAGAGATTTTTTGTTACTTAAATGCTTTTCTTGTTTCAGACTCACTTCTATGGATTTAGATACAGCGATAATGGAGGCAAAAAAGGCGATACATTGTTTTTTCAACAATGACTTCGATCAAGCAAAGAAAATTTTAGAACCATGGGCGGACAGCAGCATGTATCACTCTTTGGGGACTAGCGTATTCGCATTTTTAGAAGCAATTCTTACGTTTGAACAAGTACTGATTATTTATTACGTTCCTTCCATTACACTTTGAACATTTTTTTATTTGTCCGATTTAGAGAATCGCAGAAAATCTCTTTCTTTAATAATATATTGTGTGCAATACGTAGAGACATATCGAGAAGGCGTCAGAGAAATTGAAGCAATGCATGAGCGTATGTTCCAAACACCGAAAACACACCACTATCACACAGAATATTGGGAAAATAGTAAAGAAGATTAACTACGATGTTTATACGAATGGTAATGTATTTGTGTGTATATAATGCAACATACGCAAATCTCTTGATTACTTTTTATAATGACTAATGAATATCTAGAATATAATAGACTAACTTTATTGATATAATTAATAGCAAATAACAAAGTCCTTCAAACAAGGATTTCAATAACAAGAACATTATAGCTGATAACATGCAATTAGTTAGCATTTTAGAGCATTATGAGAATAATTTGCATTTAAAATGTTAATATAATTGCTGCTATTATGATTTTTTTGTACCAATAGTCAATATTGTTACATAATTATGGTATTAAAATTGCGTCTTCTAAACATTAATTAGAAATTTTTAATTATTAAGAAATTAATTATTAGAAATTAATTCAGAATTAATATTAACTTTAAGAGATATGATTCTGTAAATTAATTCGGACATAATTATATCAAATGGCTTTTGTGTATCTAAAACATAATAGTGCATGAAAGGAATGTGTATTTGATCGAGAGTTAATTTTACAGAGGAAGTGCATGCGGAACTCTGTTATGCCGAGTCGCTTCTCCTAAAATCGATGCTCACATTTGTAGAAGATGAGACTCTGGTCAGCTTTGTCAAGGCGGGATTGAAAATTCGTACCTGTTTTCTGTCATACAAGTAAATAAGTTACACCGCACTTGACACTTGATTTCTTTGGTATTTTTTATGATTATTTTTTTGTGTGCAGAGAATGTATGACGATCCTGAACAATCGCAAATGGGGAAATGATATTCACAAAGTGCATTTCGAAAGCGGCGTTCGTATGGGTATTGGTACATTTAATTTGGTACATATGTATATAGTTTTATTTATACTATAAGTAAATATGGCTGCAAATATACAGTTTTATATATATAAAATTCTATTTTAGATGATCTCGTTGTTACCGGCCCGAATTATTAAATTATTAGAATTTATCGGATTCTCCGGTGATAAGGTGAAGAAACATTTATAAATACGTGGCGCGTAATATTTTATTTATTAACTCGATTGTCATTGACAGGCATATGGTTTAGCAGAATTAAAAGCAGGCTATAATGAGAAGAGAGGTCTGCGACAAATTTTATGCGTTATGACTTTGTTGTCGTACAATTTGATCGTCACTTTTGTATTGAGTCACTCGGACGGCGATTTAGAATGGTGTGAGCAAGTGTTGCAACAGGAACTAAGTCTTTATCCGAATGGCGTATGGTTTCTGTTCTTCAAAGGAAGATTAGAGCTCACGCGGGGCAATTTCGAAGAATGCATAGACTGGTATATCAAATCATGGAAAAGTCAAAATGTATGGTCACAATTTCATCATCTTTGTTATTGGGAATTGATGTGGGCGCACTGCTCGATGCAGCAATGGAATAAGGCGATCATGTATGCTACAATGTTGACGAACGAGTCCAACTGGTCGCGCACTATTTATTTGTACCAAAAGGCTGCGATTTTGATCATGCAGAAACCGCCGACCGGGAGCGAGGAGAAACAACTGATCGACAGTTTGATGACGCAAGTGCCAACTTACAAGCAGCGTATTGCCGGCAAATCATTGCCGATGGAGAAATTTGTGATCAAAAGAACGGAACGTTACTTTGCACAAAAGAAAAATTTAGTCTTGCCTATATTTGAGCTTATGTACGTATGGAATCTATTTAGGATAATAGGCAAACGGCAAGACTTGATACTGAATATATTCAAAAGGATAGAAGAAACGGAGAGAGAACTCAAAACAGCTTCGTGAGTTGTTTAAACATTTTTAATCTTTATTTTACATATTAATATATGAGCATAAGTATAGCTTGAAATAAAAAATGATAGAGATAAAAAGAGATTATTTTAAATAAATTTGATTACGATCTTAAATCAAAATGCAAAAAATATGATGAAAAAGTTTTTTAATTACATTTTTTTTATATATAACATTTTGTGTGCACAGGAAAAATGAATTTCATGCGGACAACGAAGCGCTCCTATTATTGTTGAAGGGCGCTTGTCTGCGACAAATGCAGCATCCTTTGCAGTCGGAAGAGTGTTTGCGACGCGTTTTACAATTGGAGAAATCTGTTAAGGAAGATACATACTTATTTCCTTATGCTACTGTAGAATTAGCTTTATTGGCACAAGATCAAGGCGATACTCAATTGGCTATAGGTTTTTTGGAAGACGCTAAGTAAGTTTCTCCTATTATGTTATTATATGATATAATTTTGTCAATATGATTTAAATTTGTTAATTTTTACGAGAAATTAATTGAATTAAAAAATTGCATTTGAATTTTTCTAGGAAAAATTATACGGGCTATTTATTAGAGTCCAGATTACACTTCAGAATACATTCGAATTTAATGATGTTAACTGGCAAGAAAACTAACAATTATTCGATGAAGAAGCATCAACGATTGCAAACGAATATTACTGCCAATAATAGTGTTATTATCGCGGGTCCAAGCGCTGACGAGTCTATCGAAATTAAATTATAGAAGTGCTGTATAAAAAAAGAAAACATACGCAATCGAAAATCTATTTATTTTTAAATAATGTTTCTTTACGTACTTTCTTAGACGACATATATATTGTATATTGTATATTATACGTATAAAAGGATTCCTTCGTGAAGATGGACCAATGATTTCCTAACATCAAAAGGCCTCTGCGTAACTAACATCTGGTTTCGTTATTTATTTATTCAATCTAAAAGTTTCCAGATTTATTCGAGAATTGAATACATTATGCATTACGCCCGATATATGAATTATTTTCTTCCAAAGAAAATGATAAAGTAATATTTTGTAGTAATTATATATATATATATAATATTAATAAATTATATCTTATATGAGGAAAATAAAAGGAATAAGGTATACTATGTAACATTCTCACAGAATTTCAAGCGACGATATATTTTATAGCGTAATTAATATTATATAGAATATATTATATATAAATTATTTTCTTTAGAAGATTGATTAGAGTATAATCTGTGATCGTCCTATAGTATAATTGTATGGTGAAAGATATAATTATAATAAAATATTATGAGAAAATATAAACTGCAAACTAAAGATTATGTAAACAACTTAATAAAATGAGTCAAGAATAATATTATCTTTTAAAATTTTTTTCAATTGCACGCCACATATTTCTTGAAATAAAAATTAAATTAATTTGATATTAAACAATTCATATTTATTATATATATATATATATATGTATGTATGTATAAATAGATTAACTGCAAGTATTGACATTATAAATTTCCCTAAAAATTCTTAAATTTGTCGTTAAAATTAAAATTAGCATTTGGGGCATATTAATATAATTTAGATTTATAAAACATACATACACTAAGACAATATAATTTAGATTTATATTAAAATACAATATATGAAACAAGAAACATATAGTGTAGATATATTAAAATATATCATAAAAGTTTGAAAACAAATACATAATATTGGATACAATCTAACTAACAAATACATATTATAGGACATAATCTAAAAAAAACATTAGGTTTGTGCAATTATTTGTCAATTCTATTATATTGTCAATAGAGGTTTCTATTTATTACGCTGTACACATTGTTGATAATATATATATATATATATATATATATATATATATATATATGTTGATATATATATGAATAATATATGTGTATGTGTGTAGATTGAAGAATATATTAAATGCCAGTTTGCATAAAGAATATATATATATATATATATATATATTTATTTATTTATTTATATTCTTTATAATATATTCCTCATATGCATTTTAATATATACATTGGATATGTAATGTATGTAATCTATTTATGTAAAATCATGAAAAATATATTTTAAAATTTTTATCGAGAATCATTAATTTAATGCATTAATAATAATTTTGATGTTCCAGATAAAATAAATTCTTTACAAAATCTACTAGTTTTAAATTTCAATCATTTTTAGCTAATATTATATGTTTTTAATCTCTGGGATATTTAATGTAATGCAACTAATATTTGCATTATTAATATTTGGGATATTTAATGTAATGCAACTAATATTTGCTATATATATATATTCTACTGTGGAAGATTCCAAAGCAGAGATCGTTTGGATTAATTTATTGATTTTTTATTATTTTTTTATTTTTTATTTTATGCATGTACATTGCATCTGCTTTGGACTCCATTATTAATTTTTTATTTATTACTTTCTTATATATATATAAATGTACATATTATTTTAAATGGCTCTCTCTTTCTCTACGTATATAAGTGTGCATCAAAATTAATCATAATATTATGATCAATAAGTGAAGTAATTTAAACGAACGTACTTTGTGAGTTGTTATATGCATGCTCGTTTATGGTTTATTTCTTTGTTATAATATTATAATTAATTTTTATATATACAAGTATTTAATATTTGAGTTTATTAATTATATTGCCACATAAGGATATCTCTTTGTAAATGTGCATGTGAAAACAAGTCAGTTTTAATTTTTTTTCCAGATATATCGATTAGCACATCCGTTGATAACAACAGTTTTCTGAAGTTGTAGAGTCTTGTAGTAGTAGTCGGGGAAATATTGTTGTATTTGATAAGATTTAAGAATAAATATGCGAATGCGTGTATTAATATAAAAATGTAAAAATAATTCTGACGAGTTTCGCGACAATGTAGAAAATGTTAAATTAGAAATCTAGAAATCTAGAAATGTTTAATTATTCTTTTAATTATTCTTTTAGCAAAAAATAAAACGAATAGTTCCAATGAGTTTAGGAAAATAATAAATTGATTAGTAAACCAAAAATATATTCTCATATATATATATATATATATATATATATATATATATATATATATATATATATGCTTAAATTCATTATAAGACATTTCGATATTTCGATGTTATTGTGCTTTTCCAATTGTATTATATATATATATATATATATATATATATATATATATATACATATATATGAGATGATGTATTGATAATCCATTTCCAAAATATTTTGTGTAGATGATATTGTGATCATTTTTGTTGCCGAAATATTTTACTAATAAATATACGCGGAATCTTAAATTGTAAAAGTATTTTAATTTAATTAAATGATTAATTAAATGATTAATTAAACAATTACATTATTTAATTAATTGTATAATTAATAATTAAATTAAAATACATTTGTAATTTAATACATTCTGCGATTTTATTTAATAATTAAATATATCACTAAGCTTTTTGTTATGCTGATTTGAACAATTTGATTGTTATTGCACTTTTCTAATTGTATTATATATATAATACAATTAGAAAAGCACAATAACAATGAGGCTGTAACATTTAAACAATAAAAAAATTATTTCTGTCGTCAAGGTCGAACATGATGTTATTGATAATTCATTTCTGAAATATTTTGTGTACGTGATATTGTGATCATTTTCGTTGCCGAAATATTTTACTAATAAATATACGCGGAATCTTAAATTGTAAAAGTATTTTAATTTAATTAAATGATTAATTAAATGATTAATTAAACAATTACATTATTTAATTAATCGTATAATTAATAATTAAATTAAATTAAGATACATTTGTAATTTAATATATTCTGCGATTTTATTAATTCATATTAAATTACAAATGTATCTTAATTAAATTAAATTATTAATTATATGATTAATTAAATAATGTAATTGTTTAATTAATCATTTAATTAATCATTTAATTAAATTAAAATACTTTTATAATTTAAGATTCCGCGTATATTTATTAGTAAAATATTTCGGCAACGAAAATGATCACAATATCACGTACACAAAATATTTCGGAAATGAATTCAAATGAATCAATAACATCATGTTCGACCTTGACGACAGACATAATTTCTTTATTGTTTAAATGTTACAACTCATTGTCATTTGAAGACATTGTATGGAGACACTCGAGGAGTAAAATAGTGATGTGATACGCTTCGTACATTGTTGAATTTTAAAGACGATTGCAAGTTTTTGGGTGAGTGAAGGCAAGAATTTTTTAATAAAAGTAAGAATTGACATAAAAACAACATTTATAATTTAGGGAAAATAATGAAAATATTTAATTAGTATTTATTTAATTTTATGATATATAACTTGCAAATTATATATACGCGCAAGTCAAAACAATAATAATATAAAAAATATTTTTACTTTTACAATATACATGAAAATTGTTTTGTCATTAAGCGTTATCTATTAATTACTTCATATTTTATACATACGTATTATATACGTTTTGACATACAGGGTTTATCAAAAGTGTGGAAATCTCTTAATATTTCGAAAAATATGCATTAAAAAAAAATGTTTCATACAAAAGTTATAGGGTTTTATGTGACGCATTACAGAGCAATATTATTATGACCTCGAATAGCGTTGTCAAGATTATGTGAAAGTCAGTTTCAATTTTTTAAATAGAACCCTATACTTTTTATTACATTATCTTGCAGCTTATCTCGAGAGCTTTTCAAAACACTATAATTAAGTTAGTTTTCATTAAGTACTTTCCGAGTTATGAGGCTTGAAATCCTTAATTTTACATAAACCGTAATATATCGTTCCTTAATTTTACATAAATCGTAATATATCTAGTAATATATTCATTTTTCGATTATCTTGCCTTAATACTTTTATGTACAAAATAATAAGAGGAATCAATTGGTGTAAAAAAAATACATAGTTGTTTCAAAAAAAAAATATGTAATTGTTAATTGCAAATTACATATTTTTTCTTAAAAATAACTATGTGTTTTCTTCACACAATTGATTCCTCTCATTATTTTGTACATAAAAGTATTAAGGCAAGATAATCAAAAAATAAATATTTTACTAGATATATATTATATATAGATTTTTTACTAGATATATTATATATTAGTATATATAATATTAATATTATATATACTAATATATAATATATGTAGTATATATATAATATATAATATATTATATATAATATATATTATATACTAGATATTAATATTATTAGTATATAATATATATACTAGATACATTATATATTATATATTATATATAGATTTTTTACTAGATATATTACGGTTTATGTAAAATTAAGGAATGGTAAGCTGCAAGATAATGTAATAAAAAATATAGGATTCCATTTAAAAAATTGCAGCTGACCTTCACAACGCTAACTTTGACAACGCTATTCGAAGTCATAATAATGTTGCTCTGTAATGCGCCACATAAAACTTTATAACTTTTGTATGAAACATTTTTTTTTAAATGCGTATTTTTTTAAATATTAAGGAATTTCCACACTTTTGGTAAATCCTGTATATTATAATGAAGTCGTAAATGACTTTTTATTTATACTGACTTATTTATAATATACCCAAAATGTTAATTATTCGTTAAACGTGAATTCATATATGAACAATTTTATGTACTTATATGATATAATGTTATAACAAAAGCTTATATAATATGTACAAAACTATTCTTATATTATATTTATAATTGATAAAATATTAATTATGAAAGTCATATATATGAACAAATATACTTTTATATTACATTAAAAATTATTGTTAGTAATAATTATTGTTATAAAATATAGGATTGACCTATAATTGAAATTCAGCATGATGCTTGGTTTGACTGCGACAATACATATGGTCGCCAAATCTCTATCTACAGAAATATTTCTTGTAATACTGGGATTACTCATTATTATCAATCGCCCGGATATAGTAGACGAGAAGAATCGTGTGCAATCGATACCGACGCAACAACTGTTAGCTGAATACGATTATGTAATAATTGGTGGAGGATCTGCCGGTGCTGTGCTAGCTAACCGATTGTCGGAGGATAAGGATCGCACCGTACTCCTACTCGAAGCCGGAGATAACGAGGAAATTCTGTCCGATGTGCCAAATAATATGGGAATTTTGTATCACTCATCTTCTGATTGGGACTTTAAAACAGAACCGTCATCTAATTATTGCTTGTCCATGAATAATCATCAGTGCTATTGGCCACGTGGGAAGGTAAAAAATCTTTTCTATTTTTTTCTGAATCTTTATTTTATCTATACAATCTTAATTCTTTTTCGTAATAATTTCTTTAACTTGTAATATATTCTTTACTCTATATTACATATTATATATAAAATATCTGTACATGATATACACACACACATACAGACATATGTATATATATGTATATATACAGGATGTAACTGAAAAAACGCCCACGGAGCAAACGGCGTTATTTCTTATATTTTATATATAATTCTTAAATATATATTTCTTATGTACTTATATATATCGAACGAAAAGATGAATCGGAATGCAATGATAAAATGCTTCAAGAATCCTTTCTTCATCTCGTACACGAAGGCGCACTGCTGGATCGGTTATCCCGATATTATGCACGACACCCAGTTTCACATAATTATTGCACAACACCTAAAATTATACGGCCACTTGGTTTTCGTGCACGCCCGAGAAATGATTCCATGTAAATTGCGGCCGCACGATAAGTATTTTCTCCCGCTAGTCCGTATGCCACAATCATATTCGTATATTCCTGCAGAGTACACTTCATTTTCTCTGTTAATTTACTATGCAAATACAAGATTTTTATTAAAACGTCGTAGCTCTCGCACGCTGTTACCAGACTGCGTACGTCAGCACCACGCAACTACGGCTGACAGTTGTATGTAAAGTATATATATATATATATATATATATATATATATATACTTTGAAAAACATCTTACTAATCTGTCTAATAATGTCATCTAATAAATAATATCTATTAATTTAATCTAATAATTTAATCGGTTTAAAACATTAGAAAAATATCGATATATATATATATATATATATATATATATATATATATACATATATATCGATATTTTTCTAATGTTTTAAACAGATTAAATTATTAAGCAGATTATTAACCAGATTAAGCAAATTTATTAAATAGATTAAATTAATAGATATTATTTATTAGTAATAAGGTGTTTTTAAATATTCTTTAGTTAATATTCTGAAATAATCTTTATAATATATTTCAAATATATAATAAAAAATGAAAAAAAAAAAATATATATATATACATATATATGTATGTAAAGTTATTGCTACAATGAATATATTAAGTTATTAAGTTGAATTTTCTGAAAGAGGCTAATAGAATAAAACAGAAATCAATTCTTGTTAATCAATTATAGTCTTATAGTGAGTGATATGATAAAATATAATAATATAAAAATCGATTATAATAATCCATTTTTCAGATACTAGGTGGTAGCAGCGTTATAAATGGAATGCTTTATATACGTGGTAACAAAAGGGACTATGATTCTTGGGCAGCTCTTGGTAATGTGGGATGGGATTATAAGAGTGTCTTGCCGTATTTTAAAAAATCCGAAGATGCTAGAGCCGAGGAACTCGCCGAATCACCTTATCATCAGAAGGGGGGATATTTGACGATAGAGCGTTTCCGATATAAATCGCCAATCGATGATTACATTATTCATTCCGGCGAAGAGCTGGGATACAAAGTGCATGATGTAAACGGCGAAAATCAGACTGGTTTCACATATGCTTATGGTACTTTAAGAGATGGATTACGGTGCAGCACTGCCAAAGCTTTCCTGCGACCTGCTTCGAAGAGAAAGAATCTGCACGTCAGCTTACAATCTTTTGTAGAAAACATATTGGTGAAAAAAGGTTCTAATCATTCATATTTCTTTTTAATTTTTCTTTCTATCTGTCTCTGTTAATGATAAGTTATCGATATGCAAAAAATGCACTTTATATTCAACTGTGATTATCTGTATTGAAAAGAGAAATATTCATTTCTGGTAACATATTTAGGATTATTAAGTGGTTATAATAAATAAAAAACATGATAGTTTCAATATCATATATAAGGATTAACAACCGATCGATTTGTAGATGGCACGTCGAAGATAGTTTACGGAGTACAATTTCTTAAGGGTAGGAGAAGAGTAATTAAAGCGAAACGGGAAGTAATTCTTTCTGCTGGTGCGATACAATCGCCAAAACTACTGATGCTTTCGGGAATTGGACCAAAAGATCATCTTGAAGAGATGAATATACCTGTGGTACATCATGCATCTGGTGTAGGACAGAATCTTCAAGATCACGTGGGCATGGCAGGAATAACTTACATTGTCGATCCTCCCCGCAAAATGACTCGCTCGGAATGGAACAGATTCACCAGAAATCTATCTAGGATAGGTAATTTGGAAAGCATTCAAGAATTGATACAGAATAGTTCTGGCCCACTCTATTCGCATGTGTTAAGCGCAGGAATGGCGTTTATCAAAACCAAGTAAGCGATATAATTTAATTATTTGTATAATTTAATGTTATTAATCATTTTTTAATTATTTAATTTTATAAATTATTTTATTAATAAATAATCATTATAGTGACAAAATTTATTTTAATATAATTAGAGAGAATTTTTGTGCGTATGTATGTAATGTGTTTGTATGTATGTATGTAATATGTTTTTATAATTATAATTGATTTATTCAATTATATACTATATAGATATGCAGACAAAATGATCGATTATCCAGACGTACAATTGCATTTTTCGGGCGCTTCCGACTACGGACCTCTCGTAGCAAATATGAACATGGTTAACTCAAAGACTGTCACTACTTTGTACAAAAATATCACACAAAATGTTCAAGCTTTCGGAATTTTTCCATGTATTCTGAGACCACGCAGCAGAGGTTTTATTAAGTTAAAATCGAGCGATCCGAAAGAAGCTCCTATCATAGTTCCTAATTACTTCAAGGATTCCCATGATCTTCAAGTTTTAGTATGATATATTTACTTGTATATATTCACTACTTATATATTAATTGATGTAAGACCATTCATAATTGTTTGTTACTTTCATTAAATAAGTAGAAAATAAGAAAAAATGTCTTCTGCTCTCTTTTGCCAAAAAAATTAATTTTGTAAAAAAATTTTCATATATTTATTTATTTATTTATTTTAGAATATTTGAATTTGTTATTTTCAAGAATGATCTAAATATTAAAGAAATACAATGAAAGATGAAATTTGTTATAAGAATTTAATAAGTTATAATGATTTTTTAGGTGGAGAGCATGAGATTTTTGCAGAAAATGGTTCGTACTGATCTCATGCGAAAATTAAATGCACGGCTTAATTCCAACACGATACCAGAATGTTCGCATTTTGACATTTCATCGGACGAATATTGGGCTTGCTACGCGCGTCATTTCACATCGACGATTTTTCATCCAGTTTCCACCTGTAAGATGGGTCCCATCAATGACAGTCATGCTGTCGTCGACGATAGATTAAGAGTCCACGGAGTTGCGAATTTGCGTGTAATTGATGCGTCGATCATGCCGCTCATAATTTCGGGAAATACAAACGCGCCGACAATCATGATAGCAGAAAAAGGTGCTGATATGATAAAGGAAGATTGGTTATGAATATTTAGTTAATGTTAAAAATCAAATTATATCATATATGTCATGTATATATCTTTGTTCTTGTTGTTTTCGAATACGATTTTTAACTAAATGATTGCAACCAAACGTGATTAATTATGAATATTTAGTTAACGCAGAAAAAATAACCTTTTTTTTAAATAATAAGTGTACTTATATACATATTTATAAAAGGTAAAAAAGGCATTAAAGAACGTGCGTCATATATTACATCTTTACAAAAAGGAATGATAATCTCTAAAAACTTATCTTTTTAAAAAAGATAGAAAAAAGGGCCCAAGTACACGCGCCATAAAATAGTATTATTTTCAAACTAAAAATATAAAAATTACTGTAAAAAATTTATTATATTTGCACAATGTCTTAATTTTCTACAAAAAAGTAATATAAAAATTGTGCGCCACTAAGAATAAAAACTTGTGTAAGTTTAAATACAAATATTTTAGTTTAAAACATTGTTGTGCAAAATAGTTATTTTAATTTCCAAAAATAATAATATTAAATTATAAAAATAATAATATTAAAAATTAAAAATTTATTTTAAAACCTTTTTGAAAAAAATCAGTTGTTTCCTTTGGAGACAAATATCTTCTAAATTATAAGAGATAAAAAATTTTCAAATTGAAAGTTAAATGATTTCAAGAGTACTTTACGACAATGACAAAAAATTTTATTTTTTTAATTTTTTAAAATACACTTTCCATGAAACATTTTTTTTAATTTTGAAAATTCTTTATCACTAAATGAAAGATTATTTTTTTACGAATCCAACTATATATAATTAAGTTATGTTTTCAAAAATCATTTTCTAGAATTAATTATAAAATACCTCTCTATAAATACACTATTCGGGTCCGTTCATATGCTTGATTCTTCGTGCAACATATTCTGTTTTTCCGTAATAGAAAATAAGACAAAAGATACATTTGAAAGACATATTCTATGTAAATAATTATCGAAAATTTTCATCATGCTAGACATTTATAATCCTAAACACAACATTTGAATATCATTAAAATATAAAAATCAAATATAAATATATCTGAAGCAATCTGTTGAAGCAATAGAAGCAATAAAAGATTGTTGTTTTGAGACCGTTACGTGATCGTTTAATCGTGTAGTATTAATTGATTAATTAAATGTATGCTCTTGTATTTATTGATATTTTAAATAATCTATTAATTTATATTTCTCTCACGATTTTACTTGTATGCTTGATAATTGATTTTACAAAGGTATAAAAGTAAAATCATAAGAGAAATTAATAGATTATTTAAAATCAGTAAATATCAGTAAATACAACAATACATTTAATTAACAGAGTAATAATACATGATTAAACGATATCACTTATTATAATAAGTTATCGCTCGCAAAACAACAACCTTTTATAGTATTCTTTTAACAGATTTAACAGATTTAACAGATTCAGTTATATTTATATTTAATTTTTATATCTTGATGATATTTATTATATATTTAAATGTTGTGTTTAGGGTTATAAATATATATCTAGCACGATACAAACCTTCCAATAATTACATAGAATATGTCTTTCAAATGTATCTGTCAGTTATCTTCTATTATGGAAAAACAGGATGTGTTGCGCAAAGAATCGAGCGCTTGGACGAACACGAATAGCGTATTTACACAGACAGGTTTATAATTAATTCTGGAAAGTGATTTTTCGAAACATAACTTAATCATATATGATTGGATTCGTAAAAAAATAATTTTTCATTTAGTGATAAAAAAGTTTCAAAATTAAAAACAAAATGTTTAGTTGAGGAGCTATTTTAAGAAATTAAAAATTTGTTTATTGTGTTGTGTAAAGTACTCTTGAAACTATTTGACTTTTAATTTGAAAAATTCTTTTTTATCTCTTATAGTTTTGGAGATATTCGTTTCGAAAGAAAAAAACCGATTTTTTTCAAAGGGGTGTTTTATTCCCCTCCCCCCTCTCCCTCAGACATACGTATGGATATCTATAAAAAAATATCTCTTATTTTTATATATAGAAAACTACAAACTTTTGTACTACAGAAAACAACATATTAAAAACTCATGAAAATCGAAAGGAGACGTCCTTTTCTTGTAAGAGATATACAAGAATTATATATTATATTAATTATAATATTTTTTAATATTAAATTTTAATATTAAGAATCAATTTATTGTTAAGTATAATTGATTATATAAAATAGAGTATTTAACATTATTTTATATATTATTCTCTTTTGGAATTATAAAAATGCTTGTAATGTATTTTCTTCAATTTTATTATAATATTCAACAGAATCTGACCAGAAAATTTATTAAAATCAAACATTTCTAAAATAAGGCAATTATAATTATTCAAATTCGTTAATAACTTTTTTGAAGTAAACATTATAATATTTGCAAAATATTTTTGTTTATGTTTGTTTGTTATGCATGTAAAAAATTTTACTTATCGTAAAACTCAGAATAATTAACATGTCATATACATTACATTATACATATACATTATATGTGGTATATATTACATTATCAATATCATGTTTTATTTATTTTTATTCAATATAAATCAAATTTATTTAACTTACAAATCGATATTTTAAATGCATAATTAAAAATATATTTATAAAATATATAATTGAAAAAACGCAATCAAACAATCAAATCGTATTGTCCAAGTAATTAGCATAACAAAAGGCTCCTATATATATTTAATTATTTAATGAAACCATTTCATTAATCGTTTAATATTTTAATTAAAATACTTTTGTAATTTAATATTCCGCGTATATATGTTAGTAAAATATTTCGGAAACGAATTATCAATAACATCAAGTACATAATCTTTCAGAAACGAATTATCATTAACATCATGTTCGCTGTGGCGGCTTAAACAATTGTTTACATGCTACAACCTCTCATTGTCATTCGTACAGCGATACTCGAGGAGTAAAGTAGTGATCTGACGCTTCGTATATTGTTTAATTTTTTTTAAAGACGATTACAAATTTTTGCGTGAGTGAAGGCAAGAATTCATTAGTAAAAGTAAGAATCGACATAAAAGAAAGATTTATAATTTATAATTTAATTATAATTTATAATTTTTAGGGAAAATAATGAAAATATTTAATTAATATTTATTTAATTTTATGATATATAATTTGCAAATATATATACGCATAGGTTAAAATAATAATAATATAAAAAATATTTTTACTTTTACAATACATGAAGATTGTTTTGTTTTGAGAGCGTCTTCTATTAATTACTCTATATTTTACGAGTATATACGTATATACGTATTATATACGTTTTGATGTACATTATGATAAAGTCGTAAATGAGATTTTATCTATTTTAATTTATTTATAATATGCGTTAAAACGTTAATTATGTAAATCATAATTAACATTTTATCTATAATATTATAAATATAATGAATAGTTTTGTAAGTATTATAAGTGCTTTTTGTTATTTTGTTATAACATATATTTCGTACATATAACTATAAAAATATAACTATATAAATAACTATATAAAATTACTATAACTATATAAAATTAATTATATATGAACAAATATACTTTATATTACATTATACAAAATAGTAATAATAATTATTGTTATAATAATTATTGTTATAAAAAACCAGGATTGAGCTATTATCAGCATAATGTTGGTTGGTTTGGACACGACAATAGATATAGTAACCAAATCTACATCTGCAAAAGTATTTCTTACAACACTGGGATTACTTCTTATTACCAAGCGTCCTGATATAGTAGACAAGGAGAATCGTGTGCAATCTGTACCGACGATACAACTGTTAGCTGAATATGATTATGTGATAATTGGCGGAGGATCTGCCGGTGCTGTGCTAGCTAACCGATTGTCAGAGGATAAGGATCGTACCGTACTTTTACTCGAAGCCGGAGATGATGAAGAAGTCTTATCTGATGTGCCAAATAATTTTGGAATTTTCTTTAACACAGCTTCCGATTGGAATTTTAAAACAGAATCATCGGCTAATTATTGCTTGGCCATGAATAATCATCAGTGCAATTGGCCACTTGGGAAGGTATTTTAAATAACAACATGTGACAAATGATTGAGAACCAATACTCTTTGATCTAAATTCATCGTCTTGTATATTAATTTCGCTAAATTTCGTTAAAAATCTTTTCCGTTTTTTTCTGGATCTTTATCTTATTTATACGTTTACTTATTTTTATTTCGTCTGTACACGCACTTTATTATCGTAACCATTTATATATATATATATATATATATATATATATATATATCGATTTTTATCTAAATATTAATTTAATCTAATAATTTAATTTTTTAGATATCGCTTGTTAGTAATGAGAGTTTTTAAATATTCCTAAATTAACATTCTAAATAATTTTCACAATATATTTCAAGTATATAATAGAAAGTATAAATATATGTAAAATTATTGCTAACGCATATATCAAACTATTAAGTTAAATTTTCTGAAAGAGATTAATAGAATGAAATAGAGACTGATTCTTATTAGTCAACTGTAGTCTTATATTGAGCAATATAATAAAAGAAAATATAAAAGTCCATTAAAATATAATGATTTACTTTTCAGGTACTAGGTGGTAGCAGCGTTCTAAATGCAATGTATTACATACGTGGTAATAGAAGGGATTACGATTCTTGGGCGGCTCTAGGTAATGCGGGATGGGATTATAAGAGTCTCTTGCCGTATTTTAAAAAATCCGAAGATGCTAGAGCTGAGGAACTTGTCGACTCACCTTATCATCAGGAGGGTGGATACCTGACGATAGAGCGTTTCAGATACAAATCTCCAATCGATGATTATATTATTCACTCCGGCGAAGAGCTGGGATACAAAGTGCACGATGTAAACGGCGAAAATCAGACTGGTTTCACATATGCTTATGGTACTTTAAGAGATGGATTACGGTGCAGCACTGCCAAAGCTTTTCTGCGACCTGTTTCGAAGAGAAAGAATCTGCATATCAGCTTAAAATCTTTCGTGGAAAAAATATTAGTGGAAGAAGGTTCGAATAATCATATTATTTCTTAACATTTCTTTCTGTCTCTGTTATTAATAAGTTACCGATAGTTATATGCGAAAGGCATTATATATCCAACTGTGATTATCTGTACTGAAAAGAGAAATATTCATTTCTAGTAACATATTTAAGATTATTAAGCAGTTATAAATAATAAATTAAAAACATGATTAAGTGGTTATAAATAATAAATTAAAAACATGATAGTTTCAATGTCGTATATAAAAATTAACAATCGATCCATTCGTAGATGGCACGTCGAAGATAGCTTACGGAGTACAGTTTCGTAAAGGTAGGAGAAGAGTAATCGAGGCGAAACGAGAAATAATTCTTTCTGCTGGTGCGATACAATCGCCAAAACTACTGATGCTTTCGGGAATTGGGCCAAAAGATCATCTTGAAGAGATGAATATACCTGTGGTACATCATGCACCTGGTGTAGGACAGAATCTTCAAGATCACGTGGGCATGGCAGGAATAACTTATATTGTCGATCCTCCCCACAAAATGAATCGCACCGAACGGAATAGATTCACCAAAAATCTTTCTAGGATCGGTAATTTGGAAAGCATTCAAGAATTGATACAAAATAATTCTGGCCCACTCTATTCGCATATGATAAGCGGAGGAATGGCGTTTATCAAAACTAAGTAAGCAATATACTTCATATAATTTTATTTTATTAATCATTTTAATTTTATGAATTATTTCATTAATCATTCATTGTTACAGTGACATAAAATTTAATTGATATAATTATATGAGAAACTTATACATGTGTGTATGTGTAATGTTTTTATAATCATTATTAATCTATTCAATTATACTATGCAGATATGCAGACAAAATGATCGATTATCCAGACGTACAACTATTTTTCTCAGGCGCTTCCGACTATGGACTTTCCATAGCAAATGCACATGAAATTAATTCAAAAATTACCACTTCTATGTACAAAAATATTACAAAAAATGTTCAAGCTTTCGGAATTTTGCCATGTATTCTGAGACCACGTAGCAGAGGCTTTATCAAGTTAAAATCGAGCAATCCGAAAGAAGCTCCTACCATAGTTCCAAATTATTTCGAAGATCCTCATGATCTTCAAGTTTTAGTATGATACATTCACTTGTATACATTCACTGCTTATATATTTATTGATATAAAAACTATTCATAATTGTTTGCTAGCTTTGTTAGATAAGTAGAAGATAAGAAAAAATGTTTTCTGCTTTTATTTAATATTGCAAGAAAATTAGAAATATAATAGAATAACAACATTAATTAAAAATTTCAATTTTATCATGTAAAAAATTTTCCCTTATATTGATTTATTTATTTTAGAATGCTTGAGATTATTGTGTTCAAGAATTATCTGAATATTAAAAAAATATAATCAAAGGTAAAATTTATTATAAGAATTTAATAAGTTATGGTGTTTTAGGTGGAGAGCATGAGATTCTTGCGGAAAATGGTTCGCACTCGTCTCATGCAAAACTTAAATGCACGGCTTAATCCCAACACGATATCAAAATGTTCGCAATTTGATATTTTATCGGATGAATATTGGGCTTGCTATGCGCGTTATTTCACATCGACAATTAATCATCCAGTTTCCACCTGTAAGATGGGTCCCATCAATGACAGCCATGCTGTTGTCGACGATAGATTAAGAGTCTACGGAGTTGCGAATTTGCGTGTAATTGATGCGTCGATCATGCCGCACATAATTTCGGGAAACACGAATGCACCGACAATCATGATAGCAGAGAAAGGTGCTGATATGATAAAACAAGATTGGCTATAAATATTTAGTTAATGCTAAATGTCAAATTGTATTATATATGTGTATATCTTTGTTCTGCATCGAATACGATTTTTAGCATTAACTAAACATTTGCAATCAAAGAGTGATTAGTTAGTGAATTTTTAGTTAACGCTGAAAATCGTGTTGGATGGAGAGCAAACACACACACACACACACACACACACACACACACACACACACACACACACACACACACACACACACACACACACATAATTATTTGTGTACACATATGCAAAATAAAATAATAATAATAGTGTATATATATGCATGAAAACTTACCAATATCCTTAGTCTCTCAGACAGCACACAAAAGACTAAATTCTAAAAGAAGACTTAAAGACGTCTTAAAGTCCTCTAGACGTCTTTAAGACATCTTTTGGCCTTTTTGTACTGTCTGGGCTGTCATTAAATTAAAATCCTTAATCTTATTTTTCATTTTGAATAATATCTTTTTTTAATACCTGCAGTTCTCTCTCTGTCTATTCCTCCATTTTTTAATACATGCATTATAACTATAATGCATTTTTTACATATAGTTATGAGTTATTATATTTATGTCATTATTATTTTATTATTATTATGTATTATCATTATTATTTATTATAACACCTGCGTTAAAATATACAAAATAGATCTGCTTACATATATTAATGATATAAAATTATTGCCAAATTGCACATCTCATTACATATATATAATATATGTAATATATATATATATATATATATATATATATACACATATATATAGAAAAGCAGAGAGAGAGAGAGAGAGAGAGAGAGAGGGGGGGGGGGACTACAAAACCCATATTTATATTAAAAATTTATTTACATTTATATACATAAGTGTCTTGTTACACAATACTGGTGCATTTCGTGCACATAGCACGGAACAGAACTAGAAATTATGCACATTATATGTTACTCTCTAAGTATTCATAGTCACTGGCTTCGTAGTTGATGTCTACGTTTTTAATGTAGAAAGTTTAATGTAGACACTTTGCTTTATATAAAAGGATCTGTAAAAGTATTGTTTGTTTGCATGCTTAATTTGTGCTTGGCGTTTATATTTATAACAAATAATCAGAGGAAGTTCTCGAAATTGTAATTAATATTACTGCGAGTCATTTTCCTCTTTCTCTCTTTCTCTTTCTTAAAAAAAGAAAATTATTTAGATGTCTTATTTATATAATAATCATAACATATATGTAGATATTATACAAAAAAACTATTAACTTGACTAAATATGCTTATTTCGTTATTGTTTTCAGTCTGACAGTCAAATCGCAAAGTCGAGATTAATATAAAGATTCGTGATACATCAATCGTAAATTATAGTAAATTATAGTAAAGTAATCAATAATTTAAAATACTTCTCTAAATTAATTTAATATTTCGCGCATATATGTATGCTATATATGAAGTATTTTTGCGACAAATTAATAATAATACCACGCCCGATCTTTGCAACATATAACGTATTAATATTTACATGTTTTAATTATCATTCGCGAAATGAATTCGAATAAAATAGTGACGCGAGAAGCTTCATCAAATTCCTTTTCTAAACGCGATTGATTTGAGAAGTATATTAAGAAATTTGATATGATTATTACTTAATTTTATATATGCTAAATAATACGCAAAATTGTATCGCGACGATAGATCTTAAAATGCATATTTAGTGATGTGTACAATTTAATCAAAAATCAAAGTGATAGAAATCTAAGATAATAAATAATCATTTCGTTGCAATTTTACGGACAATAATTATTATTTTAATGCTTAGAGTCACAAATATATTTCCGTGTTATCTTATCGTTCTACTTGATAATGTAAATATAATTTGGATTGTGAGAGAACACGAAGTAAAACAATCGAATTATAGATGCAAATAATTAGCATAACGAAGGCTGATAAATTGTTTAATAAATAATCAATTTTAATCAATAAATTGTTTTATATAAATTGTTTTATAATTGTTTATAGTATAAAATATTTCGACAACGAATTATCAATAACATTATGTTCGACTTTGATGACGTAAACAATAGCGCGTTATTGTTTGTACGTTACGGTTTTGCTATCATTTGTTCGGTGACATTCGAGCAATAAAGTAACGATGGGAAATGCTTCGTATGTTAATTAATTGTTTAATAAATAATCGTTTAATTAATCTATAAATTGAAAAACTTCTGCAATTTAATATTTTCATGTGTAACAGTATATGTTATAATATATGTTATAGTATGTAAAATATTTCGGCAACGAATTATCGATCATACGGTGTTCGACTTTGGCAATATAAACAATAGCGCACTATTGTTAATATGTTACGGCTTTATTATCATTCGCATAGTGACACTCGAGCGATAAAGTAGTGGTGCGAAACGCTTCGTATATATTGTCAAATTTTTTTTCTAAACACGATTACGATAAGATTCGAAACATAATTTGACATAATTACCAATAATTAAAAATAAATTAACTTATAATAAACGTTATGAAAATGTATCGCAACGATAAATCTTTATCGAATCGCAATCATTAATTAATGCGAATAAAAATTGAAAAAGGGAACATAAAAGGGAATAAGGAAATTAATTTTATTATGATCTTTCGATTATTGATGTTTATTAATAATTTCTCTAACGATACTTATTAGAATTAAATAAATTTTGACCAATGCTTTAAATTTTCTTAATCGGCAATCACTCGTAGAATATTTCAACGACGAATTATAACAATAATATAGTATAAGTCGATCTTGGCGATATAAACAGTATCGCGGTAAAGGTTTTGATTTACGATCATTCGCACAGTAACCTTAAGAAGTAAAGTAGTGACGTTTCATATATTATCAAATTCTCTTTCTACATAGTCAACCTTGGCGATATAAACAGTACACGGTAATGTTTTTGACCTACGATTATTCCCTCAGTGGCCTTCAAGCAGTGAGATAGTGATGTGAGACGTTCCATATATTATCAAATTCTTTCTCTAATAATTATTTTAAACATTGCTTTATATAATAGATTTTCTCTTATCTTTTATATTTTTATTTACCGTTTATATTTGCGAATTAAAATTTATATAGTACATTAAAAAATTAATTATATATTATATTATATATAAGATTATATGTAATATAATATAACCCTACCATGGGGTACACCTTGTCGCGGTGGGAGGGCTTAGTATCTGGACGGTGCCTTGAGGTTTATCTTAAATTTTTCAATTTATGATAAATCTTAAGGTGCCTGAATGAGAAGCTAAGTACCCTTTCGCGTCGTCGGTGCCGTCAACGCGCCGCGGACGGCATGCGCTTCGTCAACGCGTCGCGTTTTCGCGTTGTAATTCTCGTAAGTGAAATGGGATTTTCGCTCGTACCGAAACCGGGAATGCCGTTAAAGGTATATACATATTAAGTATATACATTGCGCGATCAAATATAAAATTTTTAATCGCGTCGAAATAGTGCGGGAGTGCCGTTCAGTATCGCGCGTAAAATAATGAAAATAGCGATATAAAAATATCGCTCGCGAGTGCGGGAGTGTCGTTAAAAGTATCGCGCGCCAACAACATGAGAGGAGGAGGAGGCCTGGGAGAGGCATCTTGCATCGGCGGAGCAACCTGATGGTAAATATCTATTATTTATATATTAATTGTTATAAATCGTTAACTTGTTATAAATGAACAATAATCTTATTCTTAATCTTATTATTTTATTATTATTTAAATGAATTAAAGAGAAAGATTTTTATAAAAGTCAAATATAAAATTTTCTACTTAAAAAACAGTTTCAAAATTAAAAAATTTTTTCATACGTGTTCATCTGCTTATTATTTTACACATCGGATATAAAATTCCGCGTGATAAAAATTTTTTAAAATATTATTTGGATTTTGTGAGCATTATTATAAACGAATTTTATATTTGTATGTTACAGACAACTAGCTTCGATAACAACAACTCCGCTGTTGCGCATCAGTGCCGGTGAGTGAAAAAAACTTTTATTTAACTTTAAGATAACGGATTCATAGAGATTGCAAATGTAGATGTAGATGTAGATGTATATTATAGATTGTAGATAAATCCGTTGCTTTAAAATGGATGAGCTAAGATGGATTAAATTAAATAAAATAATTAAATTAAATTAATTAAATTAAATTAAATAATTTTAATAAGTTCTTTTGAACTTATGCTTTGCATCTATTGCAAAAATTTATTGAAATATTAATTAAAAAAAGAAGATATCAAGAAAAGATTTTTTTTGAAAAGACTTTGTCTAATTTATTAAAGAAAGGACACATACATGCATTAACATTTATCAATTTTATCAACTTTTGATGCTAATTTATTCTTATAATATGCACTTATCTTCTAATTGCTCATTGCTCATCCATCGTAGAATTTGTTTGTAGATATTGTTTTTAAACTTTTCTTTAACTTAATATAAAGCCAAATGATTAATTAATTAAATAATTTGTAATATGATAAATACACACATTAATTTTATATTTTATTACAAAATATAATTTATAGAAATTTGTAGTAATTTGGCTTTTGTAGTAATTTCAGTTAAAATAAAGTTATCTTCAATATTTAATGAACGATCGTGAAATCGAATGATCCCTACTAAATAAGCGTAAATATTTCACGGACTTTTGCCAGTAATTATCCGGCAAAAGAAGGAGTAATTATCTCCTTCTTCGATCTCTGATTAGAGATCGAGAAAGAAAGTCTTATTTTTTATTTTATCCATTTGAAAGTAATATTAGTAATTATAACGAATTATTGAGATTCTTGATATCGATTAAAATGACATCAAACACGACGTAAATCGGATAACTTTTAAATGGTGTGATAATAAAAATTTTGATTATATATTTAACTACATTTATTCGATTGATACTGTGTTTGATGTTATTTTAATAGCAAAATTTTAATAAAAATTTTAATAAAAATTAATTAATTAAAAATTAATTAGCGACATGAAACAGTATCGCAACGATAAATCTTTATCAAATCGAAATCATTTATTACCGCGATTAAAAATTGAAACAGGTTATACATAAAAGAGGATAAGAGATTATGTTGTGATATTTCGAACACCGATACTTATCACAATAT